ATAGAAAGTCCAAACAACTGAGCCGGTGGGATGGTTCAGCAGGCAGGGTTCCTGCTGTCAAGCCTGACGGCCTGAGTTCAGCCCCTGGAACCCACACGGTAGGACAGACAGAACTGACTTCCACAAGTTGTCCTCTGACCTCCACACATGTGCCCTGGCATGCATACTATCCCCCTCCCCCAGTAAATAAGTTAATTAATTAATAAGGAAAGCCCAAATAATTGCCTGATTTTGTATGCAGTAAGCACAAAACGTAAAGGCCTTAGGTGGATTCAGTTTGGATTCACAAACTTTGTTTTTTAAATAAGAATGTAAAGTGGATTTGCTAGCAGTTGAGCAGACTGAAAGGTATGCCCGAGTCCCCAGTCCCGCCTTTCACTTATTTTGCTTCCACATTTGCCCTTGCTTTTCCTTGCACTTAGAAGACACATGGATTGGTGGGTTATGCCCAGGGATAAGCTGGGCATAAAACATGCCACACAAACCACTCCACTCCCAGGATCCCTCTGTAGAGTCCCCTGGAACTCCATATTGGACCAGACTCCAGCGGAGCCCTTTGCTGAGAGCAGCAATTATCCCTCACTATGCCTCTCTCTGCCTTGAGACTCACAGTAATAGCGAGGTGCCTGTCCAGTTTCTCCAATCCTTGGGACCTCACATGTATATGTACTACCTGAAGGACCAGCCTCAGAAAACCTACCAGTTCATGGGGAGAGATCCAAGAAATTGGTGAATATCATGCTGCTGCAAACCTGCAGAAGAGGACAGAGGCAGTCGTGTCCCAGCCCCCTTTTTTTCTGCTGGATTTTGAGTATACATTTTAATTTCCTTACCTTTTCTACTTATTTTTTTCAGGTACTGGCTTTAACCCAGGGTCTTACGTACACTGAGCCCATGCACAGTCTTGCAGTACCCTCAGCCTCTTGTGTTTTAAAAACAATGACATAGATGGTATATAATGTGGGGACTATGAAAAGCCATCAAAGAGAGTGAAAAAAAAAAATGCCCATGATTCTGTCACCATAAAATGTTCACCAACATTGTATTCCTCAAACTTACTTTCCACTTTCCAGGATTACACCTGTAATACGGTGACATTTATATTCCAATCCTAAGGCTGTTCATTGTGTGCACTTTTCCTTTTGACACATCCTGAGCATTTCTTGTATCTTCCCATATTTTCAGAAAGTTTCATTGTATCTGAAGATACAATGTAGCAGATGACCGTTTTATATAACAGCCTGTCTTGTATACTGGTGATTTCCTGGAGTAAATTTTAGATACTCTTAAAAAAGGAAAGAAAAGTGACTGTGGGGTGCTGTGTTGTGTTAGCTTGCCTGGCTTAATAATCACCCCACTTGCCTATTGCATATCAAGACATCTTCCTGTGCACACTAAATATGCACAGTAAAAACAAAGCAGGACGGCTTTACAGTGTTCCATGGTGCTTACTTACTTAGAAAATGTGCTGCATGTTAAGCGTATTCTGACTGTACAGCTCAGCATCTGTTCTCAGGGTCCATCCGCAGAGGTAAATTATTGTGTCAGGACATTTCCCTGAAGTTAGAGCCCGGCCTCCTACTTCCATTTTCTTCCTGGACATGCCTCTCTTGGTGGGTCCGTCCTAACACCAGGTGCCCTGATTTTATTGAACCTGTAAGTATCCAGGCAGGAAAAAACAAAACAAAACAAACAAAATACAATCTTTTGTTTTAATTGTGTGTTATAGATAAAACAATTTTTGGTTTTTGTTTTGTTTTGTTTTTCAGCTGGGGTTACAGATGGTTACAAGCCACCATGTGGTCGCTGGTAATCACTCCCAGGTCCTCTGGAAGAGCAGACAGTGCTCCTAACTGCTGAGCCATCACCGCAGCCCCTACTTTTTTTTTTTTTTTTTAATATGCTTCTTTTACCTCAGAATTTTTTTTACGTTGTTCTAAAACTTACACCAGCTAGCTCATCCTTTCTTCACTGGTTTAAAATGTTGCCTGTATAGATTGCTAAAAGTTCATATTCCCTCAAATGCTATTTCTAAGCTTTTTGCGTGGTTTCATTAATCTTTGTAAGCTTGTTGCAGTGCCATTATGTTGTATTTCTGTACTGTCATTGTTTTCCTTTTCAATGCATCCATGCCTATTTTCACCCATTTGCTGCTCTTGATTTAGAGTTTTTCTGCCAAAGGCTGGAGGTGAATACTTTCAGTTTTGCAGGGGATGATGGTTTGCCCTGGTGCTTAGCTCCGCCTCTGATACTGAGAGCATCCAGGAAGGATGGAGGCTGCATCCTCACAGCACAGTTGTACATCAGGTAGCTTACTTTGGCCGCAGAGCACTAGTTTGTGAACCCCTGTTCTAGATGAATTCTAGGATCACGTTAAGTCCTTATGAATTCTGACTGCACCCCCCCGAAACACACAAAATGTGTTTGCATTACCTATTGCCACATTGCATATTATTCTCACATCAAAAGTAGTGTCTCTATCGCATAAAGTCTCCCCAGTGGGCAGCATCCGTCGTTAGTGTTTGTTGATCACCAGTATTTCTCATTTGCCCTCCTGCAGATTCCTGGTAAACGTTAAGCCTTCCAGTAGCTTCCACTCTAGTTGCTGTTATAAAGTCAGTCTTTTTCAGCCGTCTCAAGACTCCCAGCCTGGTCTGTGGTTTGCTGGATCACAGGACTGGAGGTTTGGTCCTGTTTGCTGGGGCTCCCTGGCCCCGGCAGACCTCACCCTGGATGGGAGTCACCCTCAGTGATTCTGAATCCGAGTGAAGAGCCTCTGCCTCTGCTTCTAGCTTCCGTTTCACATTTACAGAGTTCATTTCCTTCTGGCACACGGCCTCTGCCCTTACTAGAACACTGCAAGAAAGCATGGGGCGCCCATCAGTGGCGGGCCCTGGCTCACAGATGCACTTTAGCACTGTTGTAGACCTTTGCATTTATGTTGCTTGTGTTAAGCTGAGGGATCTGGGCTGCTCTTCTGTAATTCTCCAGGCCAGAATCACCCGAAGCTTGTGGCTCAGTCTTCTCATCTAAATAAACCCACTCCTTAGCTGCAGGGTGCAGAGGAAAACCTTGGGAAGGCCCCGAACTGGGGAAATGAGTCCTAGCCTTCTAGCAGGCTTCCCTGTACCTGCTGCAGGACAGAGTTTTGCTTTGTAGTTCTAGCCTACCTTTTCTAAAAACTAGAAAAGGAAAGAATGTCAGCTCTAGCTGGCATTTGCAGACCATGCCTTGACCCCCTCCACTAGCCTTCCTGATACCTTTCCTGGTCTCAGTTACTTGTTTAACCCCCTGGGTCACCAGCCTCCTAGAGGCTAAGAGATAGCTAGACTTAGAACTTTTTAGCCTAAAATTTCCACAGTAAACCTGGCACTCCAGAGAGGGAGGCACTTCAGGTCGGAACTGTGCTGAGTTAATGAACTCAGAGCGCTTCCTAAGGAGACAGGAGCACAGGAGCCGCCTTCCCTAGCCATGGTGACACTGGAAGAAAGGGATGGAGCTGCAGAAGGACAAAGCTCACTTCAAGACTGGCCAGGAGAACCCAGGAGGGCACACCACCGGAAGAGAGATGTGTCAGGAGAACCTAGTGGCCCCAGGGAATGCAGGCATTGGCCAGCTGAGCCTCCCACCTCCCTTCCCCCCCAATTGCTCATCTCCAGCTTTTTCTTACAACTACTAATGGAATCGCCTCAGATTGGGGGTATCCAGATTCCGTCCAGTTCCTCCAGGATGCTGCTCTTCTACCAGTCTGTTCTGTCAGTTTTCATGCTTTATCTTAGCAAGAGCAGTCCCGGATCCCTGTTTGTCTGTCCCAGGCACCCCTTGGTCCTCTTATACTCAGGTTTGTGTTCCGTACATGCACGCAGTTTGTTGAGGCAAAGGTCTCCTGTCACCAAGTGGCCCTAAAGGGATGTATTTGCTGGGGCTCCATGTCCATGCAGTCAACCAGCCGCACACTGAAAATATTTGAGGAAAAATTGTGTGTGTGTAGAACACATTAGGCTTTTTGTTATTGCCGCCCAGACGAGATAGTGTAGTGTTATTTATAGCATTTACATTATATTAGGCATTGTAAGTACTCTAGAGATGATTCAGAGTATATACAAAGATGTTTGTGGGTTATATGCAAACACTACAGTACTTCATTTAAGGTACTTAGACATCCATGGAGTTTGGAATCTGCAGGCTCCAGAAAGAGGGCCTGTCTAGACACTGCAAGTTGACTGTATGCAATCTAGGCAGGCATGTAACCTAGTGAGGCACACAGCCAAGGCCACTGTATAAGAATAAATTGGGAGACCCTTAAGACATTGCTTTAGGGCTGGAAAGATGACTCAGAGGTTAAGAGCACTGGCTGCACTTCCAGAAGTCCTGAGTTCAATTCCCAGCAACCACATGGTGGCTCACAACCATCTATAGTGAGATCTAGTGTCCTCTTCTGGTATTCAGGGTGCATGTACATAGAACACTGTGTACATAATAAATACATCTTTTTAAAAAAGACATTGCTTTAATGGTGTTGGGTTGTTGATAATTTTGCAAACTAGATTTTTCACTCCATAAATAAGAGCCTGCCACATTTTAATCCAACCATCAGAATACGAGGATTAATTTTGATATTAGCTAAAAAAAAAAAAAAGTACAATTAGGAAATAAGCCAACTCCAGAACTACTTTGTATCTGTTTCTGAAACTTTTCTGTGTTTGTTTTCTTGCCTTCTCTTTACTGTTGGTTCATCCAAGCCACCCTCTTTTTGCATTAAACAGAGTAACTGAGGAATGCACCCCCAGATACAATAATTAAAATGTAAAATACCTTAGCAGTCAGAGACTCACCAAACATACAAACTCATTTAAATGTCGACTGAGCTGAGATTTTTATTTGTTTGTTTTGCTTTCTGTTTTCTCTCTGGAGTTAAGAAGTAATTCTAGCAGTGGGAACAAATGCCAGCTGTCACATGTGACCCCTCAGTAACAAAGTATCACTTGGATCTTTTTCAGAGTTCTCTGAAGAGAAGAGGCAGCCGAGAAATATACAAAGAGAAGAAAACTGTTAACCAGGTAAGCCGAGGTTTTCATCCCAAAGTTCTACTCGTGACAAGGAGCCACCCCATTCTGAATTTTCTCTTTACGTCTGAGACACTAAAAGAAGCATCCGTCACCTACAACACGTTGGGGTTCACTCTCGCCTTCACAGGGTGAACATTTTCTTGCCACACCCACAGCCCCATCCTTTCCCCTTCTGCTTTGATAACCTTCTAGCTCTTTAGGAAAGAGAACAAACCGGCTCTGTGTGAACTTGCAGTAAGTGTAGTCCAGGGGTCTGGAGGCTCTCCTAACTGCCAGAAAGTGTTGTGGCCTTCACAGTCGGACACATAGTGAAGTCCTGTTGTCACTGGATGGTTGGGGTCATTTATTTGCCATTATTTTGTGAATGTGTGTGCTTTAAATGTGTAGTTGAACAGTACCTTAGATCAGCTCACTGGAAAGTAGAACATTCTAGCAGAAAAACTGAGCAAGTTCAGCCCTTTTTTTACTATAGGGTATGTCTTCTTCCAGGGAATGTCTCTAGCTTTGTTGAAGTTGCCCTTTCTGGATTCCTTTTCTCTTTTCTACAGTTGCTTTTCATTTTAGGTCTTTGAAGAGAACAAAGATGTCATTGGTATATAATCTCAGCAGAGTGTAAATAAACAGCAAGTGGTGACTAGAGAGATGCCATGTGTCAGGGTTCAAGGGCCTGTGTGCACTCTGTCCCTGGAAACCTCTCTTCATGTTCCCCCTCTGCACCAGTTACTTTTCTGTCGCTGTGATAAGAACACTCACAACCAGAGCGACTTACGGAAGGAAGGGTTTATTTGGGCTGGTTGTCTAGAGGGATAAGAGTCTATCACCATCAAGGCAGGGAGCACGGCAGCAGGCAGGCATGGCTGCTGGAGCAGCTACCGAGACCTTGATCTTGAACCCCAGGCAGCAAGTAGGGAGACCAGGCTTGGGATGACGAGAAGCCTTTCAGTCTCAGAGCCCCTCCCCAGTGGTGCACCTTGTCCAGCACGGCCACACCTCCTAAGGCTCAGCAAGCGGTGTCACCAATTAGGGACCAAGTGTTCAAGTGCTAGAGACTATGGGGAATGTCTTACTCAAACTACCTGATTCCTGAGCCCTCCAGGAATTCAGTGTCATTCAAGGACACAGCACAAGACTAATTTCACTTTCATTCCCGACTAGTTCCCCCAAATCTCATTTCAGAATCTGTTGATCACAAGGAAATTAAAGGCACCCCACGGCTAAGTGTTTTTAGCATCCTGGGTTTATAATATTTTTCTAGTTCTCCATCTCTTGCCCAGCAAAGAGCTCTTTCCTCAAAGTGCAATTACTGACTGATGAAGAGGTTGGGTGTCACATGTCCTGTGACATGAACTGTAGCTTCTAGAGTGCGTACAAAAGCAAGCCTCGCTGTGTGGAGTTGGCCCATATAGCCAGCAGGGTGATTGAGAAAGGAGTTTCTGTTCAGCAGAATGGTGGAATGGAACGCCCTGGGAACTACAGGTTGGCCACCAAAACCCAAAGGAAGCTGGCACCAAGGCGCAAGGTAGGCACATGGGCAGTTGGCTGCTGGGGTGCTAGCTAGATGGCAGACTTGCAAGCCAAAGAATATACACCAGCAGTGATATATTTCTGTCGCTTGACAAGCCTCTCCAGCTGCTGGTGATGGTGCTGGTCCCCGTGTGTCTGACCCCACGCCTTGCTTGTTTTTTCTGTCTGTAATTTCCACTGGAAAGATGGGTTTGGCCTTGTGCTTTCACACTGTGTCTGGAGCTATCCATGGGCTCTTGAAACTTGAGTTTGATACTCCCAAGCTTAGGATTCAACCTAGATCCCCAGAGTGTGTTGGCAGCATCTTCCAGAAGTCTTTGGTTACAAGTTGATAACAAAGCTGCCAGCTGTTTGAGCTGAACTTGTCTCACTAGGAGTAGGCTGCTCCTCAGGACAGGCTGAGCTCAGCTTCCCTAGGGTAGAGGGACCCCTCTCTCTCACGGACCCCCCAGGGTGGTAGCTCCTGCTTCAGCTGCCTTGACATCAGGGAGGGAGACCAACTCCTTCACGTACTTCCTTCATCTACCATGTTCTCGCCGTCTCCCTCCCCCTACCCCTCCCTGCCTTAGTTCTGGTGGCAGGCCTGGTAGTGTGCATGGGTGTTGGTAGAAATGACAGCATGCTTCCTCACGTGTCGGCGCGCCTGCTGTTTGTATGCTTTCTTTCCTCAAGGAAAAGAAGACGGAACAATGATGAATCTTCAGGTGATCTGCAGGTTGGACACTCTTTCAGCCAGTCTGTGGAACTGCTGCTGTGACTGTCCTTGGTTTAGGCTTAAGGAGGTGGAGAGAATGGCTCTGGAGATGACTTGCAGGAGGTGGGGGGTGGAGGAAATAGGAGGGTCAGCTTTTCTGGAGGTCAGGGTGACTGCAGGGCTCTGTGAGGCACTCACAGCAGGTGATGACAAACACTTTGGAGCTTCAGAGTCTCAGGATTTTCACAGACCCACCCCCCTTTCCCCAATCACTTAGCTCCCTTGGCTACAGGTGATATTGCTGAGAGTTCAATCTATGTTCCTGTTTCAAAACATTTGCCTCCCAAGCTGGGCAGGATCCTCCCTGGTGCCTGTTGGTTCCAAGGCCTCACATGTGTTACAACAGGAGGCCCTGCACTTCCGTGGAGGCCAGAAGAGGCTGGATATCTGTGGCTGAGCCATGCTCTCAGTGATCTCTGCCGAAGCATTCGTCTGCCTCAGCGGCAGTCATGAGGCCATTTAGGCAATTTTGGTGACACTGGCCCCCCAGTTAAAGATAGACTGAAACACTTCTCTCTTCCAGTTCCTGCACCGAAATCCCAAATGAATTCAGTTAGAAAGTATTTACAATCCGTCTTCATTGATAAGTAGTGTAGCTTCCTTTATTTCTTTGTGTGAACAGCAGAGACCACGTGCATATCTTTGTCTAACAGGAAGCCGGAGAGTGATTTTTTCATTGTTCTACTTTAGAACGTTGTGAGACATCAGGGTTGTTTAAAAATGCTTGCCGGTCGCTGCTACTCTGCAGATAAGAGTTCAGTAGACAATGAAGGAATGAGTGAGTGAACGAGGGAAGGAGCAGGTAGGCATGCTTTCGATGGTGTCAGACCAAGAACACTGAATCCTTCCGTGCATGAAGTTCTATCCGAGATAAATTACAACCCCACAGTCTGTGAACCCATTTTGCTAGTGATTAAAAGAGTAGAGTAGCCAGGCATGGTGATGCATGCCTTTAATCCCAGCATTCAAGAGGCAGAAACAGGCTAATCTCTGTAAGTTTGGGGTCAGCTTAGTCACCATGGTGAGTTCTAAGACAGCTAGGCTAGGGCTGTACAGAGAATCCCTGTCTCAGAAAACAAAGCAAGAAAAGAAATAGGGCTGGTAGCTTTACTTCTAGTTAGGTTCTCTTTGTCTGCCTATCCAAAACTAAATGCTTAGTGCCAAAATTCTCAGCACTCGACGACTGACATAGATCACTCTCCATAGTGTGCCAAGAGTGTGTGTTGGGGAAGAGGTCCCAGGGGACCGTGATGGGAGTGTATCACTCATAGGGTACACAGAGGGGCCACTTTGCAGATCATGCTTTCTGCAGTTTGGCTGTAGATTTGGTTGAGTCTTCCAGAACACTGGGTTCTCCTTCCAGAACACTGAGTTTGTGCTCAGGGAGAATCGGGCCAGGCAGAAAGCTGGATGGCACCAAGGAAGCAGTTTCTGTATCTCACTACAGTCTGGCTTAGTGTTGCCAGGATGTGGCAGAGAGTAGCTGCAGTTCTCTGAGCTCAAGAACTTAATCTATCCTTCTGGATGCAGGAATACAAGCAGTCGACCACGCAGGGAAGGCTGACTTCTTCCATCACATGGTTGGCAGTCTGGACTGCAGCAGTTCAGCAAGTCTCAGAGCTGGTGTCACTATTTTCTCCATGAGACAGGGGCCTTCTCGGACGTCACCCCCACCCCCACCAACCAAACTGGACTGTTTTGCGAAATTCACTGTCACTACACACTGAACACAGAGTGAACCAAATTCCTAAGCTAAGATAGTATAGGTTGCTTCAAGGCACGGGCCCCCAGCTGGAAAGGCAGTGATTTTCTTAACCTCTGCCAGGCAGTAGGGCCCTGAGTAGCAGCAGTACCTGCCCTCTGGATTTTCTGGTATTCTGCTAAGAACTGCTTCTCAGATTTTCAAACACTTAGCTTCTTTATTTGGTCTCTGTGTTTAATTTCCTGCCGCGTCACAGCACTTGAAACAGAGGCCGGGAACAAAAGGCTCTAAAGTGGCCCTTGCACGGCATGGAGCCCAGGTGTCTTCGATTGCCGTAGCCAAAATGTGCTCAATATCAGCGTGTGTTCATATGTGATACCTCAACTTTGCAAGCTCGGTGGTGGATGCCCACCAGAGCCTTGTTCATGTCATTTTGGGAGCCTTTAGGAAGGAGATGGGACAAGAGGGACGGTGAAGCCTTGCTGTCCCTGGGGAACCCTCTGGATCGTCAGACATGTGAAAGTGACCACAGGCTGATATGAACCAAGTCAGATCCACAAAGTCACCAATGGGCCACGACCTTACTGGTGGATCCTATACTTCACTTAACTCTCTCCTTCTTCATTTATAATTTGTGTGATGGTTTCGGCATGCGTGGTCTTCCCAAAAACTAACCGTTAAGCTTCTTGACAAAGCAACAAATTATGGGTCATTTCAGGGCCCACCTGCAAGGGCTCCTTTGTCATGGCAACTCCAACCAGAAGAATGGGGTGGTGTGTGTGTGTGTGTGTGTGTGTGTGTGTGTGTGTGTGTGTGTTGGGTGAAGTGTGAGGGGAATCATAAAAAACACATTTGGTGTTTTCAGATAACCTTCCCTCGGGCTATTCTTGCCTGGCAGGATGACAGTGCGGATTTGAAGTGCCAGCTTCAGTTTGCCAAAGAGGAAGCCTCCCTGATGCGCAAAAAGATGGCCAAGTTGGGGCGGGAGAAGGACGAGTTGGAGCAGGAATTGCAGAAGTATAAGTCCCTCTATGGTGATGTGGACAGTCCCCTCCCAACAGGGGAAGCTGGCGGGCCCCCCAGCACCAGGGAGGCAGAGCTGAAGCTGCGGCTGAAGCTGGTGGAGGAGGAGGCCAGCATCTTGGGCCGGAAGATCGTGGAACTGGAGGTGGAAAACCGTGGTCTCAAGGCAGAGATGGAGGACATGCGGGTTCAGCACGAGCAGGGAGCAGGCAGGGACCACGTGCCGAGCATTCCTACCTCACCCTTCGGAGACTCGCTGGAGTCCTCCACGGAGCTCCGCCGGCACCTACAATTTGTGGAGGAGGAAGCTGAGCTGCTGAGGAGATCCATATCTGAGATAGAAGACCACAATCGGCAGCTGACCCACGAGCTGAGCAAGTTCAAGTTTGAGCCTCGCCAGGAGTCAGGGTGGCTGGGGGACGGCGTCTCTAAGGGCCCCGGGGCCAGCATTCCCCTACAGGAGGAGCTGAAGTCAGCCAAGCTGCAGATCGATGAGCTCAGCGGGAAGGTGTTGAAGCTGCAGTATGAGAACCGGCTGCTGCTGTCCAATGTCCAGCGGTATGACCTGGCTGCACATCTGGGGCTACGTGCTCCGAGCCCCCGAGACAGTGACGCCGAGAGCGACGCAGGCAAGAAAGAGAGCGATGGGGAAGAGGGCCGCCCGCCCCAGCCAAAGCGAGAAGGCCCTGTCGGTGGGGAGAGTGACTCAGAGGACATATTTGAGAAGACCTCAGGCTTCGGCAGTGGAAAGCCATCTGAGGCGAGTGAGACATGCCCAGCAGAACTCCTGAGGGCCCGGGAGGACACCGAGTGCCTGGTGACCATAAAACACGAGGCCCAGCGGCTTGAGCGGACCATGGAGCGCCTCATCACCGACATGGATGGTTTCATGGATTCAGGCCTCCAAAGTGAAGGCGAGGGCAGCCCCAAGGAGCCCCACTTGTTGGAGACCATCAACACAAGGATGAAGGCTTTCAGGAAGGAGCTGCAGGCCTTCCTGGAGCAGATGACGCGGATCGTGGATGGTCTGTCGCCCCTGTCCCACCTCACAGAGTCCTCCAGCTTCCTCTCCACCGTGACTTCTGTGTCCCGGGACTCCCCCATCGGGACCCTGGGGAAGGAGCTGGGCCCGGACCTGCAGGTAAGGGGGCTCCCAGCATCGCCTTCCTGCTCCGTCTCATTCTTCCTCCTTCTCGCTGGCATTGCTGCTCTGGGGCTGGCACTGCTCTCGGCTGCTTGGTTTTAATTTCAGACCTGCACTGTACTAAAGCCTCGTCGTCAACCAAATCCTTTCTCTTGGTTGGTTTCTTTTTTGTTTTGGTTTGTTTTGTTTTGTTTTATAAGTTCCCTTATTTCCTTGTTCCTTTCCCTGTTCTCCTGCTTTCTTTTAATTGCACCACTATTCGTGGTTTAGAGGGCCTTTCATGACGAGGCCAAGCCCAATGGAGGCGCTAGGGACCGATGCAGTCTTCCATTGCTCCTTTCTTGGTGTCTCAACCAACCAGCCACCCTGACGAAGAAGCTATGAGGAGTTTAAGACAAAAACACCAACTCCCATCACGGTCAGGAAACTTAGCAGACTCAGTAACACGTGCCTGGCTCCCTCTGGTCTATTGCCAGAGGGACAAATGCAGTTCTGAGAAGCCTCAGACACCCCAGGCCCACCTACTCCCTCTGGAAGATAAGCCAGGATGGGGGAGAGGAGCCGGTTCTGAGAAGGCTGGTTTGGATGGAAAATCCCGCTACCACTCGCCCCTGCCGCCTCCCTCGCCGCCCAGGGTGAGGGCCCAGGGGAGCTTCGCCCTGGGTGCATGGCCCAGCTGCTGCCCCGGACTGTGGCTTTGGCTGCTCGACCCACAAGTAAGGGAGGCAGAGCCTCTTCCCCGTCTTCTTCATGGGTAGTCTTCCCCATTGCATGTGTCTTCTAGCCAGTGTTCCGCATAGCCGCCCCTTCACCAGCTTTCCATGTTAGTTCATCCTTTTACTCACGTTCCTTTTGGTTTTGTTCTCTTTACTCTCTTGAGCTTTTTAAGTTGCCTTTTTTTTTTTCGTTTCATTCACGCTTTTCTCTGTCTGGTAGTTTTTTCCATCGTCTACCCACTTTGTTTCTTACCCTCCACCTCCTCCACTTTTTACCTACCCCTTTGTCTTTTTTGTTTCCCATTATAAATTAAAAGCAAAACAAATAAATCCCCTTCATGCACCTAACAGTCCAAACTGAGGGACCAGCTGGAGTGGCAGCTCAGTCAGGATCGTGGGGATGAGCGAGAGGGCCCTCGCCTCCGAGCCGCCAGGGAGCTGCACCGCCGTGCTGATGGGGATTCCGGCAGCCATGGGCTGGGAGGCCAGAGCTGTTTCAGCCTAGAGGTAAGTGAGCTGCCGTGCTCACTGCTCATCTTCGACCTCTCCTCCCTCAGGAGGCAGTCCATGCCCTGAGGGACTCCGGACTCACAGGCCTGTGACAGGAAGCTCCCCTTACCAAAGGACTGAACATCGGTATTGGCTTACCCGAAGCAAGCAGAGTCACCATATTCTCGTGGAGAGCAGCCCTCAGGAGGGTCAGAGAGTGCCGAACACCCAGCATGCACTTGCACATCTGTGCCTTATCAGTAATGTTGAGTGTATCCGCTTTAAATGGCAAGTTAGATGTTCCTCAGTTCTATGAGTGAAGTGTAACAGAGAAGCCACACGCTAGAGGTGCTCATCTCCCCCACGGATTTCCTGAGTGTCTTAGGACTCTGAAGCTCTCACAGGAAACACCTTTGTTAGCCTGTACAGCACATAGGGTCTCCATCTGAGAAGGCTGGTAGTCGCTTGAGTAGGCTCAAATGCACACTTTTCAAATGGTTCTTGGGTGACTCATTACCAGGATAGACACACCAGAAAGACAATTTTCCCAATCTCCAATGAGTGCGGCACCACTGTCTTCCTGTCAGGGACATTGAGAGCCCGGGGCCTCTAGTCTGGGTGTGTATTACCAGCTTGGTCTCCTGAGCAAGGCTCTGTGTTCTCTCATCTGTGAAGTGGGTGAGAGTGATGCTCCGCTCACCCCCTGTGCTTGTATGTGACTGTGACGAGTCTCAGATGATTCTTTAAGCTGTGAATGGGGATTGCCTCTCTGGGTACTACATGCTGTGGAGTTTTAAGAACAAGGGGTAGAATGTTCCAGGCCCCTTCCCAGTGTTCGGGTGAAAACCATGGTTCTGTGGCATGTGGCAGTAGCCTGCCTCTCCCTGAGATGGACTATTGGAGAGTTGTGTCCCCCACCTCAGGAGGCTGGCTGTTCTTGCATGTCTTGGCTAGGGAAGGTCTGTAAGCCTCAGAGCTCGTCACCGGCTAGACCCCTCCTGGGTCCTGTGTACATTGACATGATAGCAAGATGCTGGCTTCGTGCACACAGGCATCAGGGAATTCAGAAACCGGCCACAGGGTTGTATAGGGAAAACGGAATTAAATCAAATACAATGGATAGTCAGTCTCCAGGTAGAAGAGTAAATCTGGGAGGTGACACAGAAAGCCCGAGAGGAAACATCTGACCTTCAGCCTAGGAAGAGAAATGATCCTAAGTCCCTCCTCTTCATCCCTCCTAGGCCACTTGGTCATATTGTGGAGTCTGGGATAGTTCTCTCAGCCTGCCCCACTGTTCTGTGACAGCAGGGGCAGACAGCCCAGAGCCTACCCTCTCCACGGCTATGTTTCCAGCCACTGTCATTCAACGGCCTCTATCCTACCAAAGCGCCATCATTCTCTTAAATATCTGCTCAAGTTCCTTTTAAAGGGGGAAGTGAGAAAAACAATGAAGACGAGGTCAAGGGAACTTGTTTTCCTAGAAGGGGTGAGATCCGCACGTCCTTCATTCTGATGTTTTTATTCACAGAGGCATTTCACATGGAGTACAAAAAGGGTCAAGTATGTAAACACACCCACTTTTAAAATTTTAATTAACTTTGATCCTGCTGTGCTTTTTCCCTTTTGTCAGACGAGTCCTCCCTTGTAGGGTCCCAGCCAGGGAGGCTGGCTGTCCTGGTTTGGTATGTCACTCCCATAGCCTTGCTGGCTGCAATATTACATTATGCTAAAGGACTGTACAATGGGAAATTCCAAGGAGCAAGAAAAGCCTCCCAGTGTACAACTCCCTCAATTCCCTGCTGGTCCTGGAGACAGCATGGAGCCCCTAAGAGTTAGCAGGGCATCCTGACCACAGAGGTGCTCTGGATTGAAGACTCACACAGACTCCAGTCATTGGGGAACGGGGTGGGGGGGAGTGGAATGGTAGAGCAAACACGGACACTTCTTTTTTCTTTTGCTGGGGTTGAAGCCAGGACCGTGTGCATGCTAAGCAACTCCTCCACCACCGAGCCATGCACACACTCCAATCCCAGTGTAGACACTGATCCAGAGCGAGGCCTGGCGGGCCGCTGCCATGTGTCCTTCTGGCAGTTGTCTCACCCTCCTGCACCCCCTTTAAATGCCCACCGCTCTGTCCTCGAGCCAACATGTGCCCTTGTCTGAACCTTCTTTAGCTCTCTGTCCTAAGTTCTCAGAGGGAAGGGATGAGGGGTCCCTGGCATTGGAAGAACCTCTAGCCCCATTTGTGATATGCCATTGGTAGCTTTGGCCTCCTCAGTGCTGCTGTTCAGGCTGGAAGAAAAAGGGCAAGTTGCTACTTTCGAAGATCAGATTTTTTCTTTTTTCTGGGTTTAAGCTGTGGTTACTGCTAGTAACACTAGTGTCAGTGTTGTGTACAGCAAGGAGGAAAAGCCCACTCTTAGGAGATAGCAAACAGGTCTCCTATAGATAGCCTGCTATTCAGATGCCTAGGAATGATGGGCCTGAGCCAGCGTTCTCCAAAAAAGAAGTCAGAACCCATCCACACCTGCAACCTCGCTAATGCAGATGCACAGAAATTAACAGCTAAAAACCAACCAAACCAAAGGGCCAGTGTTCATCCCAGTCTATGTACTGGTGGTAGGCTACCACTGTGCTCTGGACTCCCCTGACTTTGCCCCTATGCTTCCCATTAAATCTGCCAAGAGATTTGCTTATGGTAAGAGCAGGCATTGTATAGGACAGTTCACATGGAATGTACAAGGCACCTTAAAAATAGTCCCAAGTGAGAAGTGGCCAAGCATGGACACTGGTCGGGTTTCATATATAAATGAAACCACGCCGGCACCCAGAGGATCGGGTTTCTGCCTCAGGATCTCAAAGGGCTCTTCTTACTCGCTCCTCCCCTTTATCCTTTAATCACTGAGGCACACAGCATCTGTGTGGCCTCGTGTCTCAGCGGTGAAATATCAGTCCGGGGAAAACCACGTGGGTTCTATGCCAAGTATCTGTACATGTGTGGACCTCGGATAATGAGGTTGAAAGAAGTGGTGGAAAAGTGGCCGGGACAAAATGGAGGTCACCAGAAATGAAGCGCTGGTCCTTAGGTGGTTGTGGGGTTGCTGGGCAGAAGAGGGATCACCCTCGTTTTGCTTATTGTCCCTACTAAGCCTTGAACTGACCTACAAGCTGCTTCATCGGGAGCTGGTTAAAAGTTAGGAATGTGGATGAGTGTGAGACACAGCCTCTGGTTGGGGAGGGTCATGGACGGTGGGTTTCTGAGAGTTGACGTAGTGGAAGGGAGGTCATGACATCAAGGCTGGTGTCCCAGCAGCCTCAGAACAGGCGCATCCGGTGTGTGCTCACAGAAAAACCCGGATGAGTTCATTTGTCGTTATGATCAAAATAAAATAAGCAAGCAAAGGAGGTTTTCAAAATTCAAACCTTGGGGATTTGGTGATAATGAAAAGTATTATTTTTTTTTCCTACAGGAAATTTGTTTTGTGTGGAAATGTTCCCTAAGTGTATGTGATTGTTCGCAGTTTTGTGGCAGTAGAATCGTTCTAGAAGAAGTTTTTGACACAGTTATGTTTGTAGTCTGTTCTTTGTAACACTGGAGTGACCACAAGTGTTCTAGTATTTCATTAGCACGAGAATCAGTGCATGAAAAGAGAACTTGAACGAGCAGAGTTCTGAGCGCTCATGGTCTGCACAGACAGCAGTGCTCTCTGTAATAAACCCACAGCCCCGGTGATACACTCAGATGACCTCGAGGACTCTCTCTCTCTGACCTTGCACCAGTCAGAAAGGAATGCTATCAATCGGATGCTGCTGAGGAATGAGACTCATCTCTTTATAACATTTTAAATATTTATTAAGATTAAAACTAATATAAAATTGAGAATATCTGAACTGAAACCCAAAATGCCCCAAAGTCTGAATCCTTTGAGTACTTACATAATTCCGTAAGTAGAAAATTCCATACCGTGCAGCATCACACACAGAATTACTAAAAATACTGTATAAAATCACCTGCAGACAATGGGTATAAGGTACATCTAAAACATAAATGAATTTTTTTATTTAGTCTTGGGTACTGTTTCCAGTGTATCTTATATACTTCTCTTAGCAATGACTTGATTAGAATGTTTTGTGTCTAATAATACAATGCATTGGCTAGAATCTAATACATTGAAATCTAGAGGGTGTTTACATTTGGACTCTACAATGTGTAACTGGAAAGTGAAGTTGGCAGCTAGCACCCAGGCCTCCTGAAACAACCATATAGAAAACACCTGAGCTGGGGCTGGAGCAATGGTTTAGAGTTCTGGCTGTTCTTACAAAGGTCCTGAGTTCAATTTCCACCAACCACATGGCGACTCACAACCATCTATAGTGATATCTGGTGACCTCTGCTGGCATGCAGGCACACAGCAGACAAGGCGCTGGGCCAAGCACTGGCAAGAGAGACTTTTGCCTACAGGTTGGATAGGCAGAGGTGAAGCAACAGAAACCTGTCTTCCAGCTCGGGCTGTGGGGTTGAGAGGAAAAGGAACCACAGCTTACTCAGAAACCTTACTCAGGGTCAAGATTTGAACTTATGTTACTAGTTTGTTCTAAGGATCTCCAAGGATCGTGCCTGTAATGCTGACATTGGCAAGCACAAAATCATCTTGTGGTCCCACACTGTCAAACATGTCATATGCAAGACCATCGAATAAATGCCCATTGAGGAGGAGCTCACAGTGCAGAACTTCAAGCACAGTTCAAAAAGGCCCACCAAGTTAGAGCAGGCAAATAACCCTCCAGCCATGCACATTCCAACAGTCGTAGTTAAACTGAGCGGATTAGCCGGCTGTGATGGCGCACAGTTAGTCCTAGTACTTAGGAGAAAGATGCAGGCAGGTCTCTCAGTCTGTGGCCAGCCTGGAAAAGAAAGTTTTGTGAAGAAGAGAGTGGGAAGGAATAAAAGAGGGGACTAGGAGATGAATAGGAGTAAAATACATTATATAATGTGTGAACCTGGCAAAGAATTTTTATTTATAAAAATACGAAACATCAAAATAACATGAAAGAGTACGAGTAGGCAGACACGAGGATTCAACTCTGAGATCTTTGAATAACAAGTTAGATTATCAGATGGACAGTAAGCAGTAAGAGAAGCGTTAGGAAAGAGTGAGTTATTACAGAAGGAGGCACTCATTTTAAAAGTAGTTAAACTTATTCATCGTGATAAATTCAAAGAGAATCCATGACAGTGCCCAACAAGTCACAGAGCAGAGAAACATTTCATAATCCCTGCTCTTGAGTTTCTTAAAGTTGGGTGAACTTTACCCAACCGAGCTGCACCCCAGCTTTTGTTTTTGGAGATAGAGTCTCACTATGGAACCCTGGCTGTCCTGGAACTCACTATGTAGGCCAGGAAGAATGCCTTCAAGCTGTCCCTGCCTCACAAGTATCATGATTAAACATACGCAGCACCGCGCCCAGTGAGTTTAAACCTTTTGGTGCCCAAAGGTTTACTGTAAAGTTACCAAACCCCCAGTGTCCAGTTTTCTCTGTAAAAAGGAGGAGCTCTTCCCTTTAGAGTTCTGTATTTTCTCTCCTGAAGGTGTGGTCTTCACCGAATGCCAAGCTAAGTAATGGCAGCATCCAGAAGAGCCAGTTCCCTGGTGGGAAGTAGAAATCAGTAAAAGACAGGCAGAAGGAGCTGGTGAGATAATATGTCTGTATTACAATAGTCCACTCTAGTTCCCAGTTTTCAAAATCACTTTGCCCAGGCTAGTGTAGTGCCACACTCCTTTAATCTGAGAGGCAGAGGCAGGAAGCTAGCCTGGAATGCATAGAGAGTTTGAAGACAGCCAGGGCTATGTAGAGAGACCCCGTCTCTCTCTCTCTCTCTTTTTTTTTTTACCACCTACCTTAAGTAGCACAAACTTGCTACTTAATGATTTCTAAAATGAGTAAATGGTTTGCTTAACATTTAATGGTGCCTCCAATTTTAGTGAAACATTCGTTGAGTAGTAGTGATTAATCTGTCTTTGGCCATTTGGCCATAAAGTATAAGCTTCATCAATAACAATGACAGTACAGATTCCTTGACCTATCCCTAGGCTGAAGTTTAGTATTCATAGAGTTATGTGATTCCTGGATATGGTACAGAGAAACTTAGAAACAAGTGTCTGCTCTGGAAAGGAGCCCCACCTGCGGCGACCCCATGCTGTGGGATTAAAGAAAGGCCCTCGGTGAGGCAGGACAATCTCCAGTAAGCATATGGACAGATTAGTTAAGCAACCTAGAAAGACCCCAGATGGCTCCAAGAATTGAACCTAGGAGGCTGACTCCTGCCTAAATGTGTAAGCCACAAAACGCTGTGTGGTGGCAGAGAGCCTTCTTGGCTTTTTTTTCCTCTCAGCCTGGTTTGTGGTTGTTGTGGTTAAAGGTCCCCACCTACCTGCCCCATGTCCTACATAAAAGAGATACAGCCCGGAACGTCAGGGGCTCCCCTGTGAGAGAAACCCCAGGGGAGGTCGCCGTGGTCACTCCACTGCTGCAGCCGATGTGCTGTGTCCCCCCCCCCCCCGTCCCCCGTGTGTGTTACTTTGTACAGATGTGTGTCCTGCGTCCTCACCTGAGGCAGAGTTCTCACTTCCACTAAACCCTTGCTTTATCCTGCCAATCAGCTCAGGGGCTCCCCCGTTTTACCTGAGCAGAGTGTGTCGGTAGAAGAGCTACAGGGCCAGCTCGCGCAGGCGGCCAGACTGCATCAGGAGGAGACAGAGACGTACACAAACAAGATCCGTAAGGTAAATATTTCGTGAGGATTCAGCACACCTGCTCGAGTGCTAGAGAGCCCCTCAGGAGCAGTGCCGTGACGCATTTTAAAGTAACGCTGTCTGTTGCATGCAAGCGCCAATACCCGCAGGCCTTTCTCCTCCACAGCACACTTGGCAGTCATGTTGCCTCTCCTGATCCACCGGCTGGCCCTTCTCGAACATTCCAGCGTGGCTTTGAAGCTACAGACAGTACCAAACCTCTCATCTGCTGTCTGTTCCCGAACTGTTTAACTTGCGAATCAGGCATAGGAGAGAGGAACAAGCAATAACTAACCATACAATAAAACCATTATAACAGTACACTGCGGTAAACACTATTTCAAATGGATGACTTAGCTATTTCGGGGATTTCCTAATTACTATGTTTGGACCGTGATTGGCCAACAAATATCAAACCACAGAAAACAAAGCGTTGGAAAGGGAGAAACGTAGTTTCAGGAAAATCTTCAGGTCTCATTGAGCTTTCCTGCAACGATGCCAGCAAACTAACACGAAACAAGGGCTTTGAATGAAACCAGTGTGTCTGTCATTGTGAAGGGAGTTTTCTGGTAGAAACATCTGCTCACCCTAAACTGTTGTCTTCAAAAAAGCTGCCACTAATTGAGCTCTGGCCTGATTAACTTGTAGATATTTTTAAAATTACATGTAACAGGCTAATTATCCTTTACCCACCAAGGGGTTTCAGATCCAAGTACTCCTGCCCTGGGCCTCCAAAGACACTGCCCTGCCATCTCGAATCTAATTAAGCTGTGAGCAGATATCTAGATGCAGAATTGTCCTGGCTCTTCTTCTCCCCTTGTGCTTGTTCTTGGAGGACATTGGTAGCTTCGAACAGAAACAAAGCAGAGCAATTGGTGTTGGATGATATATCTATCCCTTGATGCTCCAAACACATACACTATGCAAAATGAATCATTTGGTATATTCAAGAATTTGTTTGGGCCAGGAATATGTACTGTAGGGCATATACCTCTGTGGTGACTGAGGCCAAAAGGATCTGAGTGGGTCACAGGCTGATGAAGAGAGTGTCAGCTATGCCTTGCAGTGTACAAAGGGCAGAACTAAATGCCAGACTCCTAAGTGTCTCTTGCTGTGTTCTCCAAAATATCCTTTCCAGACATCTCCTGTGGATGTGAATTTCGCGTATTGTTACCAAGGAGAGAAGAAAAATTGCATACGAGAGAAATGCCCCCTCTCCCCCAATGTGGCACATGCACAAACACATGCATGTACATGCACGCAGGCATTTGCATTGCTCTGAGAAACGATTTGGAAGGCAAGGTTATCACTGGAGATGCTGGGGACACAGTGGCAGAGTCCCTGGTGTGCACACTGGGCTTACAGTAAAGGAGTTTCGTTGAACAGTCATCAGAGGAGGAGATACTGTCCTTTTAGCTTGTTACGTAGGGAAAGGCCAAGCTTTGTGCTCTAGAGGCACCTAATGGACCCAAACAAAGAAAGCAGACAGGTGTGGAGAGAAGTCCACAGGTCCCTAGGGTCTGGACAGGGTGCTGCCGAGGGGACCGTAGAGCACCTACGGGTCCATCTCCCTGAGTGTCCACACCTTTCCACAGCATCGTGGAGGCAGGAGATGCAGGGTGTTGGGACAGCACAGTGAGCAGATGCGGGGCTGGATCTCCAAGGCATCAGGCCATTCTCCCTCCATGCCGTCATGTCCTTTTGGGAATAACCAGCATTACAACTCTGAAGACTTGAGGTAGTGACTAAATTAGTGATGTTTCCTCCTCTTCCAGCTTGAAATCCAGTGTAGAGCAGGTGTCACGGCAGTAGCCAATGCAGCCACACTGCACGGCCACGTGGACCTTTGCAGAAGGTATCAGCCTTCACTTAGCACATTGGCTGTATAGCTGTCTCCACCGGGCAGCCGTGGTTATATTCAAGTGGTTTATGAGAAATAATCCAGTGGTTTACAGGGAAAACCACTTCCTTGGCTTTTGGTCTAAGTGTGAAGTCAAAAGGCAGTGGTAGGGCTGCCATTGTAACCCTCGTGTCAGTATGGTTCAGAAGCCATTGGTTTCCAGTGTCACTTCCACTACACTGAAGGCTATCCTTGAGCCTTTCTCTGCAAAGTAAGACTTTGTTTGCACCCCTTTGGTTAGCACTGACACATGGCAATTGCTTCCTGCTTGGAAGAGCTCCATATGTTTTTGTTTGTTTGTTTGTTTGTTTTGTGTTGTTTTAAAAAAGGGCTTAGCCAGGTGTGGTGGCCTGTGAACATGATCCCAGCTACCTTGAAGGGTGAGGCAAGAGATTTGCTTTTAACCCAAGAGTAGGAGGGCCATCTGAGGGATATAGTGAGACCCCCCATCTTAAAAAAGAAAAAAAATCCCAGGAACTGAATACAGAGATGGAGATGGGTAATTCCTTAATGATGGTTTTGTTTCCCTAAGCAGCCATCACATTGAATAGGCCTAAAGTATGGAAACTGGCTATCATATTTGCTGACTGGTGTACGCAGTTGAGTCCTTTATGCTCAGGAAGAGTTGTTGTTTTTGTTTTGTTTTGTCTTCCCCTGGCCCAACTGCTGTAGTTTTCCATAGCTTTCCATTGTCTCAGTATTCTCAACCAGGGCTTGAGAGAAGCCGGAAACCTCAGGAAGGAAGGACGAGGTAGATTTGTAATTATTTTCCTCTCTGCCATTGTAAAGACCCTTGTGGGCCAAGCACAGGCACCCAGGGGAAACAGGGTCCCCTTGAGTGGCACCTGAGTCAGTCACAAGCCATGCGCCCCGGTAACGTTTTCCTGATGGGGAACTAGACATTTCTATAAAGCACTGAGAGACTAGCAGTGAAGAAGGCTGCAATGCCTTCCTCTGAAACAGCACTTGCTTCTAAACCACAAAAATTCATGAGGTTTTGTGCATCAGGTTATTAGTCACCCCAAACTTACAAGGATACCTATGTTTCATATCCTGTGTGTGCACGCCATCAAGATTGGACAGTAGGCTGCTCTAGAGAACCTTGGTTGGGTTTGGACGGCACAGGGCCCAGCTGCTTTTCACAGCTTCTTCTTGATTCTGTTCAAGATGGAGGAGGACCACCTGTATGCCTTGCGTTGGAAAGAGCTGGAAATGCACAGCCTGGCCTTGCAGAACACCCTTCACAAGCGAACCTGGAGTGACGAGAAGAATCTGCTGCAGCAGGAGCTCCGGTCCTTGAAGCAGAACATTTTCCTCTTCTATGTCAAGCTCAGGTGGCTGCTGAAGCACTGGCGACAAGGGAAGCAGATGGAGGAGGGAGGAGAGGACTTGGCGGAGGTAACGCCTCCCCCCCCATGCAGGCCACTTAATTTGCATCTGTCTCATGCCTGGTACCCACACACCACTGTCTCACCCACTGTGTCTTCCTGTTTTTTATTTATCTTCCAATATTGGCCCAAGCTGCAGAAACAGAATGGCCTGTCCGGGCATGCACAAAAACGAGCTGAGTTCTGCACCCGGGCTTGGTTCTAAGAACGTCCCCGTCTTTAATTCCACCCTGGAACAGTTTTGCTCACATCCTCTTTGTTGTGGATGGGTGTGAATCTTTAAAGTCATCACCTTGGGGTCTTCACGGTCTCATTCAAGCTCGCTGGTTTATAAAAGCCGGTGCACAAATGTTTCCTGTCCTTACACATTCTCACACGCTGAAGCCCATTTCTCCAGCTTTATGCGGTTCCTTCTAATCCTCACACAGGTCCCTTTGTCACCTCTGGCATTTGGGTATGTTTACCCCGTGTGTCCAAATTCCTAGTTAAGAGAGCAGGGTTTGTTGCCTTCTGTTTAGTTTTTGTTTGGTTGGTATACAAATGTGTTGCCTGTACGTATGTCTATGTACCACGTGTGTGCCTGGTGCCTGCAGCACCCAGAAGCAGGTGTCGGATCCCCCTGGAACTAGAGTTACAAGATAATTGTCAGTCGCCATGTGAGTACTGGGAACTAAACCCAGGTCCCTCTGTGCCAGAGCAGATCATACTCTTAGCCTCTGAACTATCTATTCTGCCCGTTGGGTTTTTGTTTTTGAAATAGGATCTTTGTATGTAGCCGAGGATAGTCTTGAACTCAAGAGTCTTATACCTCAGCCTGCTAGTTGCTGAGATTGCAGGTATGGGCCACTGTACTTGGCAGTGACCCACTTTTTACTGCCGATTGAGTGCCCTGTGGCTTTGCATGTCCTGACCCCGAGGCTTGCTTTCTGGGCCGCCTGTGCAGCCACACAAGCTACTTAGCTGCTCCCGCGCTGTGAGAACTGGGGGCCTCTGAGCTGCTGAGGCCTTTATTGTACTTTTAACTCCAGTGAACAGCACATGTCATCCCAAGTTATCCTGTGGCTGTGAGGTTTCTTGTTGATCAGCACACTGGAATTCCTCCTCATCCTCATTTATAAAACTGCCGCTGTGAGCAAAAGCAGTCACAATTTACAAAATAAATAAATAAATAAAACTCTTCGTTAATCTTTTCTAATAAAATGAGCGTCTGTCCCATGCCGCTTAAATGAAAGAAGTGCAGTAAGATGAGCCTCTTAGGGAAAAGACTTAGGGAAGGTGAATGCTTGCCCGGTCAGGCCACACAGTGCTCCCGTGTGAGGAGGAGGCTTGTGGGAGACCAGGAGTTGAAGGCTCCCCTTGACGATTCTCATGAGTCAGGTGGAAAGTTGGTCTGTAGAGCAGAAGAACACAGGCGAAGCTTTGATCCTCGTGTCTGCTGGTTTCAGAGTGAACATGCAGACAGTGCGCATGGACTTGCTGAGCTTGAAGTCCAGGGCAGTCACCAGACGGCAGGAGCCGACCAAGAGGATTCCGACCGAAGCTGCGGCCTTCCCCTGGGAGAGCATGGCCCACAGTCGCCGGGACAGACAAGTGAACGTGGATCACGGTTGCCGGCTGCAGATGGGGGACCACTCAACAGGCAGGTGGGTGCCTCGCTCTAACCCAGCATTCTCTACACCCAGGAGGGAGTCTGTATGCATCATCTTATTCCAAATGCTGATGTCCCTGGCTGCAGAAAAGTCCTCCCCTGACTCTGACTACCTGTAAGTATTAGGGAGAGAGTTGAGGTAGCTGGAATGTTACTAGCTGCCGTGCTGTTCAGCCTTTCACTCCAGTGTCAGCCCATCAAGTCTCAGTTAACCCATAACTTAGGACCATAGTAAGATCAGCTCTATTGCATATGTGACCAGAAAATTGGTCTCAGAAAGAAGAAATTAATGCACAGACTCTGAGAAGAGAGAATATTTGACTTCATTGTAGCGAGGTAGCAACTTTGCAGGGTGTTTTAGTTACTATTTAACAGAATAGTCATTGCCAACAGCACTACATTGGTAACATAGTTTACAAGAAAAAAAAAATCTAGAAGTATTTGTTTAACTTCCCATCATGCACGAAGTATTTGGAGTTTCTCTTTGGCCACTTGAAACACATACCCAAATACAAAGGCATGGCGATACTTTGGGAAAGAAAATCACAGTGAGTATAAAGAGAAGTGAGGATTAAATGTTATTAAATGTTTAGACAGAAACCCTGAAAGCAAGCTCCTTCCAAACCCACATAAACATTTTTGTTTATTTATTTTGCATTTCTATAACAAAGTGGCGTCTGTATTTCATTTGGAGACTTGCAATCCCGAGAGATCTCTGAGTACGTTTTGAGCCTCCTTGGCTTCCCAGAGGGTCCCAACAGAAAGCCTGGGGTCTCCACCCTGACTGCCTGCTTGCTGGGTGACGGGTGCAGGTGTGGGCACTGGGCACAGCCCTGCCTTCCAGCCTCAGCCATTCTGGATGACCCCTGCAGTGCCCTCTGCAGCTGCCTCTCCATTTTCACCTGTCATCTCTGCCCAGTTGTGTGCATCAAGTGGGAGATAGCTGTCACCAGGACGTCGGTGCAGATTCCAACAAGAAAACAGGGCTACTGGTGCTATTTGGAGCGCAGGCTAAGGGGATATGTGGGTCTCTCTCACCACTTTCTCTTCATACACAATTCAGAACAGTTGTCTGTACCCACCCACCTTCATTTTCCCCGAGCAGTATGACTCAGGACGGAGATAATAACTTTAAAAGGAGCCTCTCCTCACAGTCATCAGGAAGTGCGTCAGTGTGCCGGAATCCCTGGGGAGATTTGAGGTCATGGAATAAGTTTTCCAGCAGCAATCTGGTTAGAAACTAGAACATTACAAATTATGAATAAAGCTTTAAAATGTAGGCATTTTATTGGTTTGAAAAGAGGTATTGTCAGTTGTCTGAAGTGTCTGTGATTGGCTCCAACCAATACTTACATAGAAACCTGCTCACTCAGATTGTGTGGTGAGCATTTCCCAGGAGTGCATAGAAATGCTCTGAAAAGGGGAAGAGATGTAACACATCTGGTTTTCTAAATAGTCATGGAAACTATTACCCTTGGTGAAAAATAATGTAAAGTCACTCAGCCGGAACCTCCCATCAGTGTGTTTGAATGTTTATCTCCTCTTGCCTTCTGTGCTTACTCTTAAAAGTAGGACAGACATGTGAATTTCCACCGCATACAGCGTGCTTGCTGGAGGACCGGCGGATGGGGAGTGTGCATGTCAGAATCAGGTCTGCATCTCGCCGGATCCACCGGCAGTGAAAGCAAATGTGCGCACAGTGCCACTCGGGTGAGGGCAGGAGATTAATGAGCTCTACTGTAAGCGACAGCTGGCTCATGAGAGTGAGCATTCTCCATCAGGAGATTCGTCTCTCTGGGAGTGGTATGGTATTAACCAGGCAGCCGGGGTGCAAGAGCCGCTGCAAGCATTTCCAAATGCTTCTGCGCAGAACCGTGGCCCCTTCAAATCCCTGGGAACCTCAGCAGCATGGGAAACATGGCCAAACGGCTTTCCCAAGGATAAATGAGCAAGTAACAAAATTTACCACCCCACCCCCGCCCCTCATCTTCCATTTGTGTTTTGCTCTGATTCTCACCGTGGAACACCATAGGTGGCAACATTTTTATCGTGTCCAGAGAAGTTAAAAAATATTTCGTGTTTCCATTCAACATGGAGTGCAGGTCAGAAGCAAGTTTTATCAGGATGGCAAACGCTCGGTCATGCTAGTGCTCCCGGCTTCCTTGGTCTAGTTACCCAATTCCACGCCCGTTAGCCTGCTCCCAAGGCCAGTTCGAGCTTTCATTTTCCTTGGTGCTCGGATAAGCTGAAGCTGAGAGCAGAGAGAACCAGCTGTGTCATTCACGCCAGCTTTCCGCTGTTGGCTGCCCCATGGCCATTGGATGCCAGCATTCCTAAGGCTGGTTGTGCATTTTTCACTTCTTAGTAATCTCTGAAACAGAGGACTGAAACACAGGTGATTCACATTGCCAGAATTGCACCCCTGTGATCACGTGGCAAAGCAAAGGGGGTGGCTTGGACCGATAGGGAGAAAACAGCTCGTTCTCCTGGCATTAGAATAATTAATTAAAGGAAAGTTACTCTGACATTCAGAGATATGACAAAATTTATACTTTGAAGGTAGAGAGCCAAACGTAAGATTCACAGTGATAGCTTAAGAAATGTGATTTCCTATTGAGCTATACTATTTTATTCACTCTGCTGCTGGAGCCTTTCATCCCCAGTCCAGTCTTAAGGGGCTGCCTCAGAGCTGGCCTAACCTTCAGCTGATGGGCTTTGACTAACTCTAGTATTTGAAGCCTTGCTTTCTAGCTGTTGTTTGTTTGTTTTTCCCAAGATAAAGAAACAGCTTGAAAGAACACTTTCTTAGAGATGAGAATAGCATGTCAGAACTATGAACCACCTTCTGCTCATTTTTTTTTTCGTAGCTGTGATGATATATACCTATTAGGATCTCAGTTACGCAGGAGATTTCAAGCTAGAGGGCTACCTGAGCCTCATAGCAAAACCTTGTCTCAAAAAACAAGCAAGGGCTGGAGGGGTGACCCAGAGGTTAAGAGCACTAGGTGCTCTTCCAGAAGATCCTGATTCAATTCCCAGCACTCACATGGCAGCTCACAACCATCTGTGACCCCAGTTCCGGGGTATCTGACACCTTCATATAGACATACATGCAGGCAAGACACCAAAGCACATAAAACAAAAAATTATTAAAAAGCAAACAAACAAGCAAAAGAAAGAAAAAAGCAAACAAACTTCAATGACAGGATGCCAATGTGGCACAGAAGTAGAGCGTTTGCCTGGAACGCACAAGGCCTTGGAATTCAGTCTCTGCTCACTCCAAAAAAATTAATTCTTTAAAAAGTTCCCCTCTTGCGCCTAGATAGCGTTTGCATTTTGGCTTTGTGCCCTATGCCTGGTTTATTCTTTAGACCCTGCAGCTTCTGTAGTTTCCCTAGGAGCCAGACTAGAGCAAATGAGCCCAGAGCACATGATCTCACGTAGTTGGTCTTTGTTGTGTCTTTGCTGCTATTGTCTCCAGAAACTGCACACACAGGTACTTAAGGTGCTTAGTAAATGGGTTCTCTCAACACCCCCAGCCTCGCTCCACTCAGTAGTTTATAACATACACTACGCTCTCTGAACAGTGGTTCTGTTTTCCTCTGACTTGTCTTGATTTCTCAGCTCAGGTTATACATACCGAGTTATTGGTTATTAGCTGACTCAGCTGTCAGTTATTAGCTGAGTCCTTGCAGAGGGGATTCAGACAGTAGGCAGAGAGCTCTCCTTCCTGGTCAAGAACCCCCGTCCCAGCTAGAAGGCAAATGACAGTGACTATCACTCCTGGAGGCTCGGACCTTAGATTATACTTAGGCCAGTCTTCAGCGGCCCATCCTCTTTTACCTGCGGGAAGATAATGGCCTCGGGCCTCGGAGAGGAATGCTGAACTTAATCTCAGTGTAACAATGAAGGCAGGAGTGACAAATGGCTTATTTAGGAAAATGTTGCTGATATTCGGATCTGTCATTTTAAGGTCGTGTTTGGGGTTTCCTGCCAATAGACAGGATTGCCTGGAATTGATTCATTTGCCTTTACTGAATGCCACGTAAGCTCCTTTCTCACCTTTGTCAAATAGGAACTAGCCATGCATGGGTCAGGCAATCAGGACAGCGCCCTCAACGTTGCAGAACCCACCTGCCTGGGTGTATAGCTGAAATAAATAGAAGACAGAGGCCAGCGCCTCTGTTGTGACTGTCATTTTCTGAGTCACCCCACAGGGGCAGGTCAGAGCATCCCATTCACCTTTGGATTAAGCCTGTTTCCAAAGGTTATGGCTCAGAGGTAAGCCCAGCAGTGCTTATCTCTTCACACTCATCACTCTTTACACAGTTGCAATTTTATGGCATGCCTATGTCTCAGAAGTCTCAGGTTCTGAAAAAAGTGGCTGGCATTGCTCTACAAGTGTCTTGGTATATGCCTTAGCCACACCTCTGCTTCACTTGCCTTGAATAGAACCGCAGGCTTGCAAGGCAGTCTGGATGACTGAAGGGCAACCTTGAACCTGCCGTAAAGCATGATCCCAGGGCACAGACTTCAATTTTGGATTTTAAAATGCCCCACCCAAGAGAGATGTGCTTTGAAGGACTGGGATGCCCTTAAATTAAGGAGCAGGCAATAGTAAAGCCAAACAACCAGTTTGAAGAAACTGGAAAGCCATGTGTGTTTTTGTTTTATTTGGGTTAAAACTTACCTGTACCGAAAAGTGTTGGGCTCTGACATGAAAAGTTCAAACAGCTCTTGTGTCCAAATGGCTTTGTGGATCAAGAAATATCTATGGACCAGAGTCTTCACTAAGTAGCCCTGGCTAGCCTTGAACTCACGACCCTCCTGATGTTGATCAATTTGCCTTTTACATTGGCTCATCTTTTTACCCTGAAACCTATTCCAGCAAGAGGCATGAGGAAAGACCTGAGAAAGGTGAGGACAGTTTCTCAAGGACAGGATGGCCTCCCCCAAAATGGAAAGAACTGTGAAGTCGTGCAGTGTGAAGTTTTAAATGTTTCTGGCTTGGGCTGTCTGCCGTTGGTGGAGGTGGGCCTAAGTTGTGGCTGAGAGTGGGACTTGGCACATACGTGTGCTAAAAGCTTTAGTTCCTCCTCTGTAAAATGCATCAAGACTGGTAGGAAATATAAGGTCATACAGATGAGTAAGTCAGCACACAGCCTAGCCCATAAGAAATGGCAGGTAGGGGATGGAGAGATGGCTTGACGGTTAAGAGCACTACCTGTTCTTCCAGAGGACCCAAGTTCGATTTTGTGTACCCACATGGTGGCTCACAACCATCTGTTAACCCTGCCTGTGGTTCATCGACGTATATGCAGGCTCAACACACATACACATACAATTTAAAAAGATAACTAGTAAGTAGTAGTGACTGTCATTACTGGATTTACGTCTGTGCATCAAAAGCATTTAGAAGAACCATGCCCATCCACGGCATGCGAGTCCCCGGAAACGTTGACAGGGATGTTGCGTGTTCCTGGCAGAAGCTTCCCTGGTTTCCTGCCACCCAGCACGGGGCTCCGGGGGATTATAATAACAAGTGGCAGTCACACTGATTCCCTGGGCTTGCTTGTTCTCGCTGGCTGCCTTCACCCCGTGCTAACAAATACCGTCCTGGGCTTCATAGGAGATTACGTTGATGACTTGGACCCAAATGTGCATAGAAACATTTAGGCTTAATTTTATTGGATCCAGTATCTGCTAATGCCATAAAAGTGCCGGCTTTGCTTCCAGAGAAAGTAAAATTTCAATCTGCAAAAAGGCTGTAGAGCTCAGATTCTGAGCCATCACAGGCTGAGCCTTTACAACCTGAGATTCATGGAAAACTGCTGAGCACATGTAAGAATGTGTTGCATGCTTCCCTGCTTTCTCTTCCATGTGCACAGGATGACTGACTGTCCCCAAGGCTAGGTCAAAATTATTGTGGTTATTTTACACTTACATTTGAAGTACATTTGATTCAAAAGATAGTGACTTTTTTTTTTCTTTTCTTTTTTGAGACAGGGTTTCTCTGTGTAGCCTTGGTTGTCCTGAAACTCATTCTATACACCAGGCTGGCCTGGAACTCATAGATCTTCCTGCTTCTGCCTCCCGGGTACTGGGATTAAAGGCGTGTGCCGCCACTGCACTGCTGAAAGGTAGCGATTTTTTAAAGATCTGAGGTGAAAATAAATTTCATAGGACGTAAGAAAGAGAAATTATATTTTCACATAGGATTTCCTGGAAAATGACATGTGAAAATGTGGAAGAGCGCCATTGCTCCTACCCCCTGAGCCATCCCTGCACCTCTCTGAAGATGTACATTTCTGGAAGGACTGTTGCAGCATCTCTTCTTATTCAACTGCTCTCATAATTTATATTTGCACCCTCTGTAGGTGTTTCCAGCCATGCGACACAACACTGTCACCTATGGTATTCACACCTGAGGACCCTACAATGGCATTTATTAGTGTTCTCAGTGAGTCTGCTGTTGTGTGTTGGCCCGCATTCATAGCCATCCTGAGCCATGTGGGGCCCACGATGGATGACCATAGACCCTTGATTGAGAAGGGCTCTTCTGTGCAGAATCTGAGCGGGGCCTGAGTAACTGGCTGAAAAGAGCAGCGGCTGAGTTTTCTAAGCACCAGAGTGTCCTAGTTAGGGTTTTATTGCTGTAAAGAAAACCATGACCAAGGCAACGCTCAAAGGAAAACATTTGATTGGGGCTGGCTTGCAATTTCAGAGGTGTAGTCCATTATTATCATAGTAAGGAGCATGGCAGCATGCAGGCAGGGATAGTGCTTGCTGGAGAAGGAGCTGACAGTTCTACATCTTGATCCAAAGGCATCAAGGAGAGGCTCTATTCTACACTGGGTGTAGCTTCAGCATAGGAGACCTCAAAGCCTGCTACCACAGTGACACACATCCTCTAAGAAGGCCACACCTCCTAATAGTGCCTCTCTCTATGGGCCAAACATTCAAATGCATCAGTCTGTCCTGGCCATCTATACCTATTCACACCACCCAATTGCACTCCTTGATCTTATAGGCTTATAGCCAAACATAAAACAAAATGCATTTAGTCCAACTTCAAAAGTCCCTATAGTCTATCATAGTCTCAGTAATGTTAAGATCAAAGTCTCTTCTCAGATTCATGCAGTCTCTTAACTGTAATCCCCTATAAAATCAAAATCAAAAAACAGATCCCATGCTTCCAACATATAGTGCCACAGGATATACATCACCAAAACACAGGGAAGGGAGCACACCGAGGAAATAAATACTCCATGTCTGATGTCAAGATGCTCTTTAGATCTCCAACTCCTTTCAGCTTTCTTGACTGAGACACGCTTCTTCCTCTTGGGCTGGGTCCACTCACTGTTAGCAGCTCCCTGCGGCAGTTATCCCACAGCTGTGGCATCTCTGACAGCCCGGGAAGGGTTCACCTTCACAGCATCAAACAGTGGCCCTGCCACACACCTGGCCTCAGCAAAGTTCCTTAGTGGCAAAGGGAGATGCCATAAACCTCTTTCTTCTATCCTGGACTCTAAAGCCAGAACCACATTGCCAAAGCCGCCAAGCTATGCTGCTTGCTGGGGCTGAAACGTGACCCCCCCCCTTGTTCAATTAATTACATCTTTTCAACTTTCAGTGGTTTCCTTCACTGCTTAAGCTTGGCTCCCCTGGAACTTGCTCTGTACACCAGGCTGCCCTTGAACTCAGAAATCTTCTTGCCTCTGTCTCCTGAGTGCTGGAATTAATTAAGGTTTTCTTTAATTCCTTTTCACAAGATGGAAGCTTAGCTGGTTGAGGTCACTACTCCCTTATTCCATTGGCCATCTTTAATCTGTTCATCTCTTTGAACACAGGATTTAGTTCATTCTACGTCTGGTGCCCTCTTAATCCATACAATTAGTATTTTCTCTTGCTCATCAGTTTCATCAAAAAGTTCTTCACAAGCTTGAACAACAGGACAGAGTCTATGGTAGGCTCTCTTGAGACTTCCTTTACCCATGCAACTAATTTAAATCTCTTCACCTTAGCCTCAGACGCTTTGGGCAAGGTCAAAAAGCAGCCACAGTCGCCACCAAAATCTCACAACAATCATCTCTAGGCAACATACAAAAATTCTTCTTCTCTGCAACTTCTTGTACCGGCCCCTCCCCCCACAGTTCAAATCCCCTGAGCACTACTGTGTTCCATGCTCCTAGTAGGATGACCCATTAAAGCCTTGCTTGAAGCATTCCACTGCTTTCCTAAAGTCCCCAAATCCACATTCCTCCAAACAAAAGCATAGTTGCGCCTATCACAGCAGCAATCCAGTCCCTTGTACCAACTGCTGTCTTAGTGAGGGTTTTATTCCTGTGAAGAGACATCATGACCATGACAACTTATATAAAGAAGACCATTTAATTGGGGCTGGATTACAGTTCCACAGGTTCGGTCCGTTATCCTCACGGTGGGAAACCCCAGAGGCAAGCAGGCAGACACGGTGCTGGAGGAGCTCAGAATTCTACGTCTTGATCAGAAGGCTGCTGGGAGAGATTGTGTGCCACACTGGGTGTAGCTTGAGAATATGTGACTTAAAGGCCAGCCTCCACAGGGACACACTTCCTTCAACCAGGCCACACCTCTTAACAGTGCCACTTGCTATGGACAAGCATTCAAACACATAAGTCTGTGGGAGCCATACCTATTCAAACCACCACACAGAGCTACTGTGTGAGCCTGCAGGGGTGAGCCAGTGGGCCCTGATGTCCTGAGGTAGAGCTTAGATGTATGAGGCAGGATTTGGGTTTTAGTTCCTTGTGCTTTCCTGAGTAAAAAAAAAAAAACCATGAGCACCCTGAGAACATCCAGTCAAGGATTCATGGACTCGCTGCTTTTTGTCTAACTGGGGTCATGGCTGCCCATATTATCAAAGAGCTATAATGGACTTAGGAGTATTCAGTTCTGATAAACCTTCCCCTCCTTTATTTTCTCACTGTATGGCCCAGGCCAGCCTGAAACTTACAATCCCCATCTTAGCCTCCTCAGTCCTGTGCCAGACTTTGTGATATATAATTCCCATGCTAGCACACACCAAAACAGGAATCCTAATTTTAAAGTGTGCCTTCAAAGGGTGGGCATGGCCTGGAAAGCCTAGTAGCTTTTATGTGAAACACAGACAGTAATGAGGTAATAGTTCAGTCTTGGGATTGGCAAGCCCTGTGTGAGTAAATTGTGCGTTTCACCTCCGGCTTTAATTAGGAACTCTCAGAAGCTCCCCTCCCACCCCGCCTTGCTTGTCACTGTTACAGTCTCTTAGTAGGCATAAGTCAAAGAGCGGCCGCCCTGTGTCTCTGAGAACCACAGGCGCTCAGCGATTACTTCAGTAGCTGGCACTGGAGTGATGGTGTGATGGAGCGCCTAGCCCAAGTCACAGCCCTTGGCTGTCTGAAGTCCCACAAAGCGTCCTGACAGCCTGGCTTCAGGGGCTCCCTGTGGCTTTTGGCAACTTGTTGGTTCCAACCTTCAGGGTTCAGAACACCAACCCATGGTCCAGCCTCTGAAGAGAGCTGCTCAGGGCCTTGGTGTGAGGAGGCCTCTGGCTGCTGACCATCCCGCCATTATTTAGTGATTGTAGGGCCCCGCCCTCCTGTGCCTTCTTGCAGCGACCCTGGCAGGTGCTCCAGCCCCTACTGACTGAGCCTCTCTGTCTCCCATCTACGAGACACTCATCAGTAGGCTAAGCTGGCTCTCTTCCCACAGGTGGCGGAGAATCAGCAGCTGTTCAGGGCCCTCAAGGCCCTGCTGGAGGACTTCCGTTCCGAGCTCCGTGAAGACGAACACGCCCGGCTGCGCCTGCAGCAGCAGTATGCCAGCGACAAGGCTGCTTGGGATGTGGAGTGGGCTGTGCTCAAGGGCCGCCTGGAACAGGTAGCTGCCCCTTGTCCCACCGCCCTCCTCAGCACTGCACATCTGTCCCCCTCTGCTCTAGCCAGGATTGGTGGGGCAGAGCCACAGGTGGGCTCCCTGTGGCAACCCTGGTACAGCGGCAGGGAGAGCAGGCCCTGAGGCTGTCTGGGAAGCGCCTCAAGCCCCTCTGCTCACACTAGTCTCCTTCCCCGGGGGTGAAATGAGCCTTCACCCGTAGCATTCCATTGTGTTATTTGGCCCCTCGGCACTAAACACAGCCGTGGAGGGACTGGCAGTGAAGCTGTCACCGTGCGGAGCTGTCTCCATGTGAGGCTGATCATTCTGGACCACAAAAAGTCAGAGCACACTTTTTTTTTTTTTTTTTCTTTTTGAGACAGCGTCTCACTTTTTAGCCCTGGCTGGACTACCCTGTAGACCAGGTTGGCCTCACAGAGAGCTACCTGCCTCCCTGACTCCCAAGTGCTGAGATGACTACGAATCCCCATGCTGTCTTCAGACTGTGGTCATGTGACCTATCAAAAAGGAGACATGTAGCCGGCTGTCCTTTGGAATTTTCAGAATATTGAAAATAGCTTCCACTCACGGCTTGGAAACCTTGTCAAATCCAATTTCCTTTTTCTACCAAGGAAACTGAGGCCCATGAGGGGCAGCTTGCCTCAGATCTGAGTCCATGCTAGGATGGGGAGGAGCCCACTTGTCCCACCCACCTCCAGAGAGGAGTGACAGCCCAGCCTGTGGGGTGGGGCTCAAGCCATAGGAAGCAGCCTTTGCTTAGCCAGATTCTCAGGGTGTCTCCGACACAGCATCTGCTGCTCTGAGGTGCTTCCGGGTCATAAGGTAGAAATAGGGTCTTTGTGTTGTTGGCCGTTTATTTTCTAGCCTTTGTTGTGAGGCAAACTATAAAATTTTATATGAATTGACTCAGTCATGAAAGGAAAAAGTTCCCCACAAAGGAGATACCTTATAAACAGATAGCTTCAGTTATGATAAAAGATGAAAAGGGCCTGCCAATTCAAAGAAAACAGCTCTCCTAGGACTCCCCAAGTTCACTGGTAGGCCACACAACTCCAGGAATCCCTGATACCTGTTACATTTGCCTGCATTACCACTGACCCTGGAACCCCCCACCCCTCCCTAGGTGACCCTCAAGGTCACCTGTTGTGTTGCATGAACTTAGGTACCTCCAGGTTCACCTGTACTGTCACTGATCCTGTGCAGCCCACAAGCCCACCCGCACTGGCCTCTGACTTTAGGTTTGGGGCTCATAGTCGGGAACATATGTGTAGAGTCAGGAGCAGAGGCTTCCAGGCCAAGTCTAGGAGCTGGTGCAGCCATGAGCCACTGGGAGACATGTGCAAGGATGCTGTTCCAGGAGCTGCCATTAAAGCCTTTAGAAGTATCACAGGTGCAGGGGATGTATGCAGAGAAGAAGGAAGATGTCGCTGTTGATGCGAGCCACATTCAGATATCCCAGCGTGTTGGCTGCAAATCAAGCCTCAGAGAGAAGAGGGACTTCCTGTCAGGAAACAAGCTTGTACCTCAAGTTCAGAAGCCAGGTGGTACGACAGCGTTCACCTTCTGCCCCAACTGTTTAAGAAGTTTCTTCAACATGTGCTGCCCAGGCCAGTGAAGGGCAGCTCATGCTAGTTGGCTTGTGACCCCCGCTTAACACTCTTCTACTTAAAAACAAAACAAAAACCTAGGTATTTTCAGTGGAGCTCAAATCTCTGTTTCGTTTTGGTTTGGTTTTGGTTTCTCCCAAACTAAGCCTTGCTCTAAATAATGAGGATCCAGCAGCAAATGGGACAGTCTTTGTTTAGCTGGGCTTTGTGGTGCATTAACTATAGGAAAGCCGAGGCAGGGAGATCCCAAGTCTGAGGTCAGCCTTGGTTAAAAAAAAAAAAGTGGAATCAGTTTCAAAATAAAGGCACCTATCTAGCACTCGTGAGGCCAGTGGCTGCATCTCTCATGTGGGGGAAACATAGCAAGACACAACTTTTCTGTTCCAACCTGGTCTAAGCAGCTATGATTCTGAATAGAAAATCTTTATGCCCACAGGCCAGTCTGATGGGGGCAGTTCCTCAGTTGAGGGTCCCTCTTCTCTGGGCGACTGTAAAAACTAACCAATGTACCTTGGGGTTGTTGAGCACCTCCACTTGCTGGGTAGCCATCTTTGACTAGCACATCCTTTATCCAAATGCCGTCCTCTGTATCATCACTGTTTATGTCGGTATGTGTTCTTAATACAAAAGTATTGCATCTGGTTTTGCTTCAGACAATAAGTGATGTTTAAAGTCAATTAAAGTGGAGGAGATGAGTTTTATATTTATTTCTGCCACTTCCATTGTGCAATTTTTGGGTAGATCAAAGTATTGATCTATATTCCTTCTGTTTGAAGACCCTCTCCTGACTCTCCCAAAGGGCAGGCCTGCTGGCAAGGGTTGTTTGTGTTTTTATTGTGTGCTTTCATTTCTCTTTGTTAGAAAGGGTTTCTCCTTCTGTTTTGAAATTTAGAGTTTTATTGTCTTAGTTAGGTTTTGACCTCTCTGATAAAATGCCATGACCAAAAGCAACTTGGGGAGGAGATAGTTCATTTCAGCCTACACTTCCATGTCACTGTCCATCACTGAAGGAAGTCATGGCAGAAACTCAAGGCAGGAATCTGGGGACCGGAACTAAAGCAGAGGCCATGGACAGGTGCTGCTTACTGGCCCGCTCCTCATGGCTTGCTCAGCCTGCTTTGAAAACAATAAAAACAAAAACCTAGGACCATCAGCCCAGGGACAGACAGTACCACCCACCAATAATGGTCTGGGCCCTCCCCAATTAATTATCCATCAAGGCAGTACCACACAGACTTGCCTACAGGCCAGTAAGAGGTACCCATCGTTACCTGGCTTGCATGGTTTCTGATGGGAAGTCTTACATAATCCTAGAATGTCATGTGCAGTGATCAGTGGATCTAGGAACCAAGAGCACTTAGAAAAACAGGATGCGCCATGGGTCCCCAGAGGAAGGAAGACCTGCATGCAAGCCCTCGTGCCTCTCTGTGTGTCTTTTCTCCCTGGCTTCTACCAGTTTGGCCATATAGATGGAAAAAAATTTCTTTGTTTTGGATATTTAACCCCCAGATATTTGACAAACACTTACTAAAGAATATCAGGTTCCATGATTATCTTAGATAGGGGCCAAGAATATTGGACCAGGCATGGTACCACCTTCAAGGAGTTGTAGAGGCTGAAGATAGAGTGATTTAGACTGGGGGGGCGGAGCTAAGAAGAAGTCTGTAAGAGCTGTGCTCAATAATCTCTGAGATTTTGCATTCTTATTTTTTTATTTCCAGCTTAAAAAAATGAAATTGGTAGCCAGGCGGTAGAGGTGCATGCCTTTAATCCCAGCCCTCGGGAAGCAGAGACAGGCGGATCTTTGTGAGTTTGAGGCCAGCCTGGTATATAGAGAGAGTCCCAGGACAGCCAGAGCTGTTCTGCAGAGGAACCCTGTCTCAAATTAAAACAAACAAGCGGAAAAAAAAACTGGTTTTGTTTTCCCACAGCATTAGTCCAGCTTGGCTTAAGTATTCATCCTGTGAATCAGGTGTAGATATACTGAACTTTTTCTCTCCCTCCAACACTCGACTTCCAGAAAAAGGTTCCTATGTCTTTTCTTCTTGGCAGCTGGAGGAGAAGACTGAGAAGGGCCTGGGGGAGCTGGATTCCTCTGCCAAGGGCAATGGTGCCCTGAGAAAGGAGAGAGAGGCACACCAGAAGCTGCTGGCTGACAGCCACGGCCTGGTCATGGACCTGCGTTGGCAGATCCACCTCCGGGAGAAGAACTGGAATCGAGAGAAGGTGGAGCTGTTGGAGCGTCTGGACAGCGAGCGGCAGGAGTGGGGGCGACAGAAGGAGGAGCTCCTGTGGCAGGTGGAGCAGGTAGGTGCGGCGCAGCCTCAGATCGAGGAGGAGCAGCAGCCGCAGCAGCGACGAAGCGTAAGGGCAGTGCACAGCCCTGGGAGCCAGGAACATAGAGAAGGGAGCTTGCTGCTGTGGTCCCCTCCCTATGGGGGCATCCAGAGGAAGTGAGACATGTTAGGCTTCCTGTGGTGGACAGCCGCTCCTGTCCTCCGTGTGTTACTTTTTGTGTACCCATGACCGGAAGGCCCATGAGGAAAACATCAAAAGGGTGTGGTTAGCTCTGAGTCCGTTAGTGGCTGCTTGGTGCTGTGTGCTTGGGTGGTACATGGGGCCTGGAGCTCATGGCAGAGGAGGTACATCATCTCATGGTGGACAGGAAGCACAGAGAAAAAGCAGAAGAGCTGGGCAAGCTGTAGCTAGACCCTCTCCTCTTCTACTGCCTCCCAATAATGCCACCATCAACCATGAGTTCACCCAGGAATTAATTCATTTATTAGGTCAGAGCCCCTAGGATGTAATTCGTTGAAAGGCCACAGCAGACACACCTAGGTCAGCCTTACTTAATGTAGGTATTTCTGTCTGGTGAAGCTGACAATTAAGGTTAACGATCACACCCTAACATCACATATACCTCTCATTGCAGTTTGTAGGCAATTTGCCTTTGTGTGCAGGGGCCGGGAAGTGACCCTCCAATGGGATCTGAAGATTAAACTTGAAAGGGGAGGTTATTTCGGGTTGTCTTCATTGATTTGTGCTCCAGAGTCAAGTAACGCTTAGGATTGCCACGGAAGACGTGGTCATGGTGATGGCCGCAGCCTGAATGGAATTGTTACCATTAGTGAAGTAATTACCAAATTGAGTTAGAAGCCACTGTTTCCTGGTGATTGCGCCTGCTGTGAATGCTGCTGAGCTGTGATTAGATAGGACCAGAATCAAGGGAGGTATCTGGTAGCTCATCATCTTCCGATAACAAACTCAGATGGATTCGGGGAGCTCAGAGGGAGCTGTTTTACAGCCGCCTGCATCATCACTCTCCGCATTGCAGGCACTTGGTGCAGTTTGCATGGCTGCAGAGTAGGCCCAGACTGAAGTACAAATCCAATTGTTCACAAAACACTGACAGGAAGTTCTTGAATTCCTCCCTGGCTGGATTTTTACCCCACAGATACCTTGCCTCTTCCAATCTGTCACTCTCATAAATGCACAAAACTTCAAGAAATATCAGTTCGAAACAGTACTCACACTGCCTGTATTAATAGAGAGCTTGTTGGGAAGTGTGCTCTTCCAATAGTTTGTGTGACACAGCGCCTATGCTAAGGCTAACCGGCAAAGGTCAGTTCAAGTTTAAATTTGCATAGGGAGGGGCACAGGGTGAACTAAGTGATTTAGAAATGACCCAGAGCCTCTGCCTTAGGAACTGTAGAGAGGAAGGCAGCACACTGGAGACGGAAGGAGCGGAGGCTCTTATGGTTTGATCACCAATGAGTCACCTTTGCTAATATTTGATATGGCTCCATTTCAAAATTCTCCAAATACTACTAGGAGGAAAGTCATCATTTCCTGTTGGGTTTGGAAATACAGCACCGTGAAGCGTCTTCCAGACTGTGCCTAGCACCTGTGTGCTCTGTCGAGTGGGTCCGCCTCGAGGCAGATATCCAGAGCCAACAGTAGCATGTATTTTTATAAAACGATCACCAATTTATCACACTCAACTTGACTTTTTCTTAGGAGACATGAACAGATGTCTCTGCCCCAGATGGAGTCCTGACTACAGACCAGAGAATGACACCACCCAAATCTACTTTAGTGAGCCAGTGAGTTTATTGGGGATGCTTATTGGAGCACCTCACGAAAAGCCCACCGTAGCACGATGCTTTGTGAGGGGTGCCTCTCCGGGGAACACATTGCAGGCAGCTCAGCCGACTGGTGTCTTCTTCCCCTACAACTGTTACTGTTTGCATAACCTTGGGGAAGACTCGGTGAATCTTGGAACTTTCTCTGCTCCCTGGACCCTGTAAGTTGCATGAAGCTTTCTCCCCGCTCCAAGAGGCATCTCCCAGGAAAGAACAGGTAACCCGGTTCATTCTTGGCCACTGCTTTCTATTGCTCACCTTGAGCATCCCTGCCACACCCCAGTGAGGCCATCGTGTTCCCTGTCATGGGCCTACTGGAATCCCCTTTGCCTCGTCACTGCTGTATGTCAACCCTGTCCCAGCCTTCTACAGTTTGAAAGTCACACTTGCTGTAAGTTAGTCAGGTAGCCAGCACTTTTGTTTTTCTTTGGGGAATGAGGAATTTCCAGCAAAGAAAAACCTGGTCAGACACATCCCGACGACACTCAGAACCCGAAGTGACCCAGGGCTGGCCATCACCCGACTTTGAGACTATTTTGGGGAAAGATAACACAGACCAAGAGCTGAGCTGCATTTCCCTGTCCTCAGCGTCGCAGCAGCGAGCATTTCAGGCGTCCACCTGGCCCCCACCCCTGTGCTGTAGAGACCCCAGCACCTGTGCAGGATTTTCCTGCTCATCAGAGCAGTCCTCGGTGAAAGGGTTCTGCACAAGTGCAGACATGGCTCTCAGAAACAGGTCTACATTCCAGGGAAGCACTCAGCATCTTCAAGGGTCTTACAGCCTCACTGCCACACTTGGAAACCAAGACAGTAGCCATAAGCATTATCCAAAGGAGGCTGGTTCAGATGCCCTCGGGGATGCATGCACAAGTGGAAATGCCCACAGGGTCTCATCACTCAGCCAGTTGCTTGCCAGTTTAGTGTCTTAGCTGCACATTCCACAGAGGAACAAGAAATGTAACCGAATAGCCCTTACAGTGTCCACTTGATATTTGACTCCCCGGGAAGCCGTATAACCTTGGCCTGTGATAGCTTGATGCGGACAGTCAAAGAAGTCTCACTAAATCCATTTTCCACTCACAGAGCATGTGCTTCATACTTGTCCAGTGTCGTTAAAGTCCCGCATAGTTTCTGCACCACATGAGGCAGTCTCTATGACGGATGGCCGTGGGAATGTGGCTCAGGTCACGCAGCAGTCTAGGGCTCTCATCTCAGCCCACATTTGATTGGGGGCTGGTTAGCTTTTATGCAGTCACCCTGGACCTCTCCAAAGGACTGAGCAAAAGCCCCCAGGTCGCAGTCACAGAGTGTCGCTATCCTTGTGCTTAGGGGCTAGAAAGGACCGATGACCTGACCTCTCCTTCCCGATAGCTTTCTCAAGTCAGCTACCTTCAGAGCCTGAACAGCCGGCCCAGCCTCTAAAACCTGTTCGCCTGGCGACTGTTTTCTTTTCACGCAGTTGTAAGGTGACACTCTAGAGATTTTGTTGTGCTCGATTGTTTGAAACACAAACATGTTTTCTCTTTGCATTAAGTGTCATCGTGCTGCAAGTTCGCAAGTACAGTAGGTGTGTGGCCCTGGGAAACTCTATCTGTTAAGGACTCAAGGACCCATTATACTATGACAGTAGCACTCAGGCATCTCAGCAGCAGGCACTGCCAGCTCTAGCTCTGGCTTTTTTTTTTTTTTTTTTTTTCTCTTTTAGGAAACCTAACACTTAGCAGCCCCAGTGCAAACTGCTGCTGGCTGCCTAGGTTTATTTTTGAAATCCCACTTTACTGAGTTAGAACGTGTTTGTTCATAGCTCTCCTCTTTAGTTGTTCCTTCACACACACCCTCGGTGCACATTTGCAGCTCCCAGCGTGATTCTTGCATTTTAATTCTTTGCCCAAAATATGTTGGGAGATGATCATGTGTTGAAACTCAACTACACTGACATGCGTTAGAGGGATATAATAAAATGCTTTCCTCTTAATACATATATATAATTTTTAAGTAAAGCATTTAGCATCGTTAAGGGAACTGCGAAGAAATGTGTTATTGGGAAGAGGGAGGGGAAAGCAGAGGGGCCTGAGCTCAAACCTGGGATGAACTACTTATTCCCTAATTTAACAGTGACCCTGCCACAGTCCTGCATCTAAGATATTGCTCCTGCCACCCCCATCTTTCCAACAAGAATGTTCAGAGCTTTCTGTTCGAACAGTTAGAGGGTCCTTCCGTCCTGTTCATCTTCCTTCTGGTGACTCACAGGCCTGGCTTCTGCTTGCTTGTGGATGTAGGCTCAAACTGGGTTGCAAGATGCAGCTTAGCTTGTAAGATGTTCTTAAAAACCATCTGTCTGGTTTGAGGGATTTTTAGAAGTTCTTCTACCATCTCAGCACATGAAGACCGGAATTCTTTAGTTGGCCACTCCTCCCGGAGAAACCCAAATGTCACTTTGATCGTTAGATGATGTACTTATTCAAGAGAAAAGTCAGAGTATGTACTCATCAGCCAGTAAAGATCTCATTGGAAAGTCCTAGGTGAAAATAGCTTCAGGCCTCAAATGCACTTTCTATAGGTGTTTAGAGAGAGAGAGAGGGAGAGGCAGTATGAAAGAGGGTTCATGAGCCACACCCCTGGGCTATCCCATCATTCCTCTATGATTTTAGGTAGTTCTCCGATAAACTACCCCGGCTCAAGACCTTCCACTGGAAGAAAAGTGTTTATCTGCACAGTGATCTGTAATTGCCAGGCCTCTCTGCCTGCTCACCTTCTGCACAGCTCCGCTGAGCTGCGCCACGGTTGGGAGATTACTTCTACTGGCAAACCAGCAGGCCGCACATCCACCTTCCGGCCCCTCAGCTTGAAGTGCTGGAAATTGGACCGGGGCCTGGCATGTGCGAGGCAACTTAACTGCTCTCTGACTGGCTTCATCTCCAACCCCTCATCTCCCATCCTCTCACCCAAGCGGTGTGTGTCTGCCCGTTTCTGCTTCAATTTCCTAAGCTAGGCCAACTAGTGGTAACCCTCCCAAGCAGTTAAAGTCCTTAGCACCATGACGGCACAGCTCCAATCTAGGTCAATCACTCCGATAGTATATATAATTTCTTAGCTGCCTCGGGTCAGTTAGGAAAATGGGGTTCACCTCTGGCGTTTGCCATCTGTGGCAGAATCCCATGGAGCACAGCTGAAGTGCTGGAGGTAATTGCAAACGAAGTACTAAACCTGACGTTTGTTCCCATTAAACTAAAAAACAAAACAAAAACAAGAGTCTAATTTCCCATGAGCACGATGATTGATAAACGAATTATACGACTACAACAAAAAAAGCCCCCTCCCCAATAGAAATATTTGCATCAGGAAGACTTGGTTGGTAAATGTAGATTCTGTAGTCCTGGTAAAATGCGCTTTTCTTTAGAAAGCATTTGCGATATTGTGGGACATTTTGAAACTGAGGTCCTAACTGTAAAAACATTTGCTTCCAGCCAAGTCTTTTCAGATAGACCCAGGCACCTCAACACAGCGAAGAAAGCATGGTCGATTGTCACACTGAAAAGGGAGGCTGATTGTTTCCATTTTTAACACTCTCAGTTACAGAAAGAGAACAGTCCCCGGAGAAGCGGTGGTTTCCTCTGCAGTCCAAAAGAGGACGAGGCCCGCCCTTTTCCACACCAAGGAGGGCTCCGTACACCCCGACCCACGTCCATGTGGCCCCATGCAGACACCGACTCTCTCCCATTTGAGAACCGGCCACTCTCCAAACTGAAGGAGTCGGACAGGTGCTCGGGCAGCGAGAACCTGTACTTGGATGCACTCTCCCTGGATGATGAAGCTGAGGATACGCCACCCCTCAGGAATTGCCTTGCTGAGGTCAGCCTGGGTTTGTCCCCCAAGGGCAGGAGGGGCCTGTCATTAGATGCAGCCAGTGTCTGGCAGAGTCCGCTCCCAGCAAGTTCCCCAGACAACCTGTGCCCCAAGCCAAGTGACCTTTTGCCAATGGTGGCGTGACGGTTTTATTTGGTGGACCTGACTGTTCTCCTGCTGAAATGCTGGACTAAGGTCCTTTGTCACATGAGAACTCTAAAGAACAGGTATGGTGAACAAAATACAAAAGAGAAAACACAAGTATATCTTCAACTTTTCTTGAAATCATAATACAGTTTTTTGATTCTAGAGAGCTAATGACTGAGAAATAATTCTATATTAAGAAATTTCTTAACATTTAGTAGATATTACTGAATGGCAGCCACTATAATTAGGTTATTCTGGGCAAAGGTGGAAAACATCCCACAATCGTAACTGCCACCAAATTTCTGTGGCACTGTATCACTTCTCCCCCCACACCACAATGTTTTTTTTTAAACCTCATTTGAGAAACTGGCATAGGGATAGTGAGACACTGTCTCAATAAACCTGGAGGGTGAGGTGGGGACACTGATCTAGAAATCCTCACATGGGAACCAGTTGACTGTGGCTGGACTAGATACTGTTCTCTCAAATACTTCATACTTACAGGGACTTGCCTCATATAGTGTTGAAATAGGAGGACATTGTATGACTTGACTGTCCCTATAGGACAGTAGCTGAGACCATAGGGTGTCAGATGTCCAGCTGATACAGAGTTTGAGATATTTACATACACCTGACAAAGTGTCTTAGGGATAGGACTCAAGTCAAACACGGAAATCATTTAAGTTTCATATACACCTTATACATGTGGCATAAAGGTGATTGTTACTCAATATGTTTATTTTGCGTGTGAAACGAATGTCAGCAGCACTCAAGGTTTTTCAGGTTCTGAAGTATGTCAGATGACAAATTTTTGGATTAAGGGGTGCTCAACCGTGTACATCCATCACAGCAGTGAAGTCAAACACCCTATTCTCAGCAGTGTGTATCAGGATGGTAGGATTGCCCACAGACCTGCAGGTGAACTCTGTGGTTCACCTTCATAGCACAGAGGGCACAAGATCAAAGGGGGACCTTTACTCCTCTGTGAGGCCTGGCGTCTATGAGGAGGGGCACCCTTCAGGCTCTTCTCTGCAGACGGACAACCTTTTCATTTGTGTCGGTGTTTGCCAGCCCAGCTCTCTCTGCTCTTAAGGGGAATCACTGTTACTCTGCTTTGGATCCTAAGAATGTTTAAAAGCAAGCAGGAGTCCTAGCCCCAAGGATGCCACACTTGCAACCTCCCTGGCAAGATTTAGACGGGAGGACATCAGTCTCCCAACTCTCTACTCACTCCATTGCCCTCTATTCCTGCACCAACACACTCAGACTTAGACTCACTCAGGATTGCCAGTTCTTTGAACTCCACACAGAAGGGACGTCTCCCCGGGAACACCGGAGGGCCACTTACTCAACAAGCTTCAGGCAGTTTTCTCACTCAGGCAGCCCCCTCCCTCCCTGGGGAGACTACAGAGGTCCTACCCTCCCATGATGCTGCGGATGCTGCTTTACTGTTAGGCTTCAAAGGGCTCGGAGCAGTGGCTTAGCACTTTGGCCTCCGTGAGGCTTTTAAACCACATCTTAAGGGACCGGAGCAGAACAAGTCACTAGGATTCCTAGGAAGCGAAAATTGTCTGATTCCCACAAATATTTCTTTTTTACAGGAAGAAGAAAGTCGCAAGGGAAATCTTCAAAGGTACGTAAAATGGATTTGGTAAATTAGAAATCTTTTACTCTTAAAGTCCCTCCATTTTGATGCAGCATTTGTGAGCACCCTTCAAAATAACTGAACAGTAAGTAGTTGCTTTTAAATTATTCATTTCCTGGATGTGCTGGTTTTTAGTATTAGCAGCCAAAAGGCCACGCACACTGGTATGTGTTTTATAAGAACTTCGTGTGCTATGTCCAGAGGAGTGCTTGAAAATACTAGCTGCTAAACGGTCCGTGGAAAACTTTCTTCTCATGAACTTCAGAGAAGCTCTCCACCTATGAGGCATTACCTGCTGTGTGGGGACTTGTTACAGTCTTTCCCTGCTTTAAACCCTGAAGAAAAAGACTGGACCTGCTACCCTTTGTGTTAGTTACACACCAGCTTCCCGCTCAGCAGCCTGCGCTCTCTGGCTTTGCCATTTCTTCCTTCTGTAGGCGGGTACATGTTATTTCCATCGCATGCTATTTCTCTGGCAGTTTACCACGTTTGGCTCCCCTCATCCTTTATTTTCCTGTGAACTTGGAGGCTGTAAATGACTGTCTCCTTTGTGGCCTGTGCCGTCTGTGTTGTCCACACACAACAGGATTGCTGGGGCGTGGATCGATCCACCCTTCTCTGGTCTCCCCCCGAGGTGATGCAAAGGACGCTTGTGGGCTTGGGCTCTGGAAGCAATTTGCACACGCCGCTTACTGCTCTGTTCCCGAGGGTTTGAGACCTAAGTGCTTTGGGCCTCAGGTTGCTTCATCCGTAAGCAGGAGAGCTTCAGAGTGTTTCAAAGATTCTGTTGCTCTGTCTTCTTTGTGTGGTTTACATGTATGAACACCCGGGAAGGCAGCTGGTGACTGACATAGGGAACCCCGCACAGTTTAGCTGCCGCTTCAGCTGCTTTGCCCCATTCACAGCAGCATTCACTCTGGGTCCAGGTGAAGGCCTTGAGCCGTTTGCTTTTGATAGCCCAAGCCTCCCACCTTTCTGTTTCTTTTTTTGCACTATAACTGTGTTCTTCTGTTGATTTCAAAAGCAGTCAATTAGAAGGTTATAAATTATGAGTAGCATCAAAATGTCCAACACAAAACCACAGTTGTGCGGAGCCCTCCCCTGGCCACGTGCCCTCTGAGTTCTAGCTATGTGGTGGGTTCCGCCATACCTCTTGCATCGGGAGGCGCACCAGCATGCTCCCAGTGCATTCTGGTCCTGTTGTTTTGTCAACATGGTCGCTTCTAAGGTCCATAACCCTCCATTCTGCCTCACCTCTGTGCCCCTCTAGCCAGCCAACCCCAGAGGCACAAAGTGTGGCTGCCACTGCTGTTTCTGTGTAGCCACCACTGAGAGTACAAGCTCACTCCCGGGAGAGCCCCAGCCTGACCTTGCTGTTATAAACAGGCCCTGTGGAGGAGACAGTGTGTGTGTGCTGGATCTGGGAACCCCCCTGGCATGGCTAGGGCTGAGCTAGAACCCTAGGTATAAAGTCTTGTCTGTAGAAGGTGGGGAAACCACTCTAGTGTGATGGTGAGTTGCTAGCCACCTTGCCTTCCACTTCAGCTGCAGCTGGAGTGGTTCCAGGCCACAGAGGTTCTGCCCCCTGGGTTGGTGGTCACACCCAGCCCCCAGCCTCTGAAGGTTTGTTTGCCCTGGTGGCTAGACAAGCTGCACGAATACCCCACCTCCTGGCTTGTCTAGTATGCCACTCCACTACCTCTGGGGTGACGGATGAGCAGATGGGGAAGCGTTCAGCAAACGTATGGCAGATTAACACACGAGACATTAAAATGCTAGCACTGAGGAATCCACAGCCACGTACAGGTGCCTTAGCTGCCAAGGTCCGGCGATTGCCTCATCAGTGAGGGACTTCTCCTGTAGTGAACAATGAAGACAGGGCATCCGTGGGGTGGGCATATTAAGCCACTCAAGAGTGTTAAGAGTGAGGTAGAGGCAGCTACCTCTGTGGGTTCGTCCTGTGCATTAGCAGAGCCCAGGAGCCGACACCTTTTCTGCATCTCTCCCCAGGGCTGTGTCTGTGTCCTGTATGTCTGAGTTCCAGCGTCTGATGGATATCTCCCCATTCCTACCTGAGAAGGGCCCACCATCTGCCAGCAGCAAGGAAGATGTCACTCCACCCCTGTCTCCCGATGACCTGAAGTACATAGAGGAGTTCAACAGCAAAAACTGGGACTACACATCCCACAGGGCTGGGCCCAGCAGGCCTTCAGACCTCTGGGCAGACAGGACCGAGGTGGGGCAGGTAGGACACGAAGCCACCACTGAGCCTTTCCCCGATTCCTCCTGGTACCTGACCACGAGTGTCACCATGACTACAGACACCATGACCAGCCCAGAGCACTGCCAGAAGCAGCCACTGCGGAGCCACGTCCTCATGGAGCAGTCTGGGGTTCATGTACTGCACAGCCCGCCTGCCATTCGCCGGGTCGACAGTCTAGTGTCTGGGGGTGAGGGCAGGAGCAGAGTGGACCCTGAGGGCCCCTTTCCCATGAGCAGAGCAAGAGGGAACCTGGCAGATGCCAAGGGAGGCCATCCGGAACCTGTGCTCAACAGGTGGTCTTGCACCCCACCCAGACACCCTCGAGACTATGTGGAGGGGTCTCTCCACCCCCTGGACAGACCCACCTGCCCCTCCCTGGGATTTGCCTCCCCACTGAACAGCTTAGACATGTCTAAGAACATGAGTGACGACATGAAGGAGGTAGCCTTCTCTGTCAGGAATGCCATCTGCTCCAATCCCACGGAGCCACAAGTCAGGGATATGGCCTGCCAGACCAATGGGTCCAGGACGGCAGGGACACAGACAGTCCAGACAATCAGCGTGGGCCTGCAGACCGAGGCCCTCCGTGCCAGCGGCGTCACCAGCAGCCCCCACAAGTGTCTCACGCCAAAAGCCGGAGGTGGCACCACCCCTGTGTCTTCTCCTTCCCGAAGCCTTAGGAGCCGACAGGTGGCCCCTGCCATCGAGAAGGTGCAGGCCAAGTTTGAACGCACCTGCTGCTCCCCAAAGTACGGTTCTCCCAAACTTCAGAGAAAGCCCCTCTCAAAAGCTGACCAGCCAAATAGCAGGACCTCACCAGGCATAGCCCAGAAAGGGTTCAGTGAGTCAGCCTGGGCCCGCTCCACCACCACAAGGGAGAGCCCCGTGCACACCACCATCAACGATGGCCTCTCCAGCCTCTTCAACATCATCGACCACAGTCCTGTGGGGCTGCGGGCTGGGAGCCGGTCCCACTCAGCGGAACCCCGACAGGAGCTGGGTCCAGGCCAGGAAACGGGCACCAGTTCTCGGGGAAGGTCGCCCAGCCCCCTAGGGGTGGGCTCAGAGGCATGCAGGGAGGATGGGGGAGAGAGCACACCAGTGAGGCAGGACTTGTCTGCCCCCCCTGGCTACACACTCACTGAGAACGTGGCCCGGATCCTCAACAAAAAATTGTTGGAGCATGCCTTAAAGGAGGAGAGGAAACAGGCCGCCCATGGCCCCTCGGGCCTCACCAGCGACAGCCACGCTGGAGAAGCAGCACCAGCTGAACCAGGATCCATGGAGGTAAACTGGGCCCCTTTCCTGTTAGCTCTGCTTTAGGCTGCCTAGCATAGGGAGCCTGGGTCAGATCACAGGCAATGGCTCCAGTTCCGTAGCTCCAGCAGGAAGAAAGTGAAGAGGGAAATGGAACAGGCAGACAGACAAGCCTTGAGTGACTTGTAAGAAAGTTTATCTGTTCTCAGATCATAAAGACTTGTCTGTCTCTCTCCTCTGGTCTGGGTAAGTCTTTCTCTCTTGGTCTGGGGCATGTTTGCTCTTCCTGTGTGAGACTTGATGCAACTGTGAAAACTGTGTACAAGCCAGTACGGTGGTGCACCCCTGTAATCCCAACACTCAGGAAGGCAGAGGCAGGTGGATCTCTGTGAGTTCGAGGCCAGCCTGGTCTAAAAGCAGGTCCAGGACGGCCAGGACTACATAGAGAAACCCTGTCTCCAAAAACAAAGGAAATTGTGTGTGTGTGTGTGTGTCTGTCAGGACTTCTATACACGATAGCTCATTCTGTGTGGCTACCTGAGGGGCATGTCACAGTGCCTTTGAACTACTCGGACACAAAATTCATTTATTGGGAACAACAAGAACAGCTTTTAGATCCTCAGCACCTCAGTACAGATCAGCAGTTTGTCATCTTATAAACCACCCTTCCTCGTTGCAATCAGGTCATCAGATGAGGTAAAAACTGTGCCCTAGTGGAACGTGGCAATGGTGACACAAATCTGTCAGCGCCGACGACTCCTGATACAACCCCTCCCCCCATCTATTCTTGCACCAAAACCAAAACAAAAACCACAAGCCAACAAAAAAAAAAACCCACAGGCATGCTATTGCACGCCTTTAATCCCAGCACTTGGAAGGCAGAGGCAGGTATATCTCTTAGGGTTCTAGGCCATCCGAGGCTACATAATGAGAACCTGTCTCAAGAGAAAGAAAATCCTATGACCACAGCAAAATGTAGCAGCCTGAGAATGAGAGGGTGACAGCAGTGGGGATTTGCTGTCACTGCAGGACGGACGGAGCAGGTCTGTCCAGGAAGTCATCATGTAACTGCAAGTCCTGGGAGCCTGGATGTGCCCAGCCCACATACAGCAAGGGCAGGGGCAGAAGACAGCAGGCTGCACCCAAGCTACTCGCCACTTTCTCTAGCGTCAGCAACCCTGGCTTCCTGGTGACAGGAGGAGGAAGATGTATTTCCTTTGCCGATTGCCCCAAATTGCTCACAGGGGAGAAATGATCAGGCTCCCAGTCCAGCCCTCCTAGGAGTACGTAACTCAAAATACAGAGGTCAGACCAGAAATAGGTCATGCGGTGTTGATTTTGACAGTTACCTATAGAAGTGGAAATTCCATGACCTCTTCCCAAGGTCTGAGGAAAATGGACACTGTAGGCTAAGAGTTCTCAGGTGGTATCTTGGCTTGTCTTACCACTACCCCTCAGAGGCCCTCAGATAAGTGCCTGTGGTGTGGGAGGGGCTGTTTGTAGGTGAACACTCCACCATCAGGTAAGATAGAGCTTGTTCCAGGGCACTGTCAGTGGGCTATCTTGAGTTTTTACTCATGTCAGAGACCAAGCAGAAGTTCTGGGAACTAAAAACCTTTGTATTCCTGGCGGTGAATGCTTAGAGCAACCTGAGAGGTAGCCCAGAGGACATGGTTTAATGGTAGAATCAAAGCCCTGTCACTTCAGTTACCACAGCTCTGCCCGTATCATCCGGAGGACCCAAGAGCATACAGGGGGACTCACCGGCAGCGTTTCAGTGCATGGCTGTGCCCCTCTCACAAGTTTGCCTGTTCTGGATGCCAGGGGTGTGTCATTTCTGCTTGGATCAACCCCACATGATAGGCCCATTGGGAATCCCGTTCATCTCTTGGTGAATGTGTGGCGGATCTGGCTTCACGCCAGCGGAGTCCCTGGTGCCTGCCTAGCCCACACTGATGCTCCCTGTGTGGCCTTGTTACTGGGCTCTCCACACACGAGAGACAGGAAGTGGTCCTTCCCTCCTCCCTTCCCTCTCACCCCTCAGGTGACCCTGGCCTCTCTCTTGAAGCTCAGCAGCAAGGCAGAGGTGTGCCGAGAGAACGATCTGGCATCAGGGGCCATCCTTCCATCTCCCCCCTAAATGTGCTCCGGGGGGCACTGTTGAGTGCGGGCAGCCATAGCTTGTGATGACAAGCAAGCCAGACTGTGTAACCAGCCTTGCCATGCTGCCAGAGAGCTGGGAGGCCACTGCCCCTCCTTGGTTCTGCTTCCTTCTTCAGTCTGTTGACACATGGCAGAAGACAGTCCTGTGAGCTGAGTGCCATGGCCACCTCCTGCATAGCCTGCCTCTGATTGAACACAGACCAGTGTTCTCTCCTGGAGGCCATCTTGGGGCATACTTGTACTGTTCTTCTGTTTGAAACAAACCTTCCAACCAACTTGTTTTTCTCTTCTTTGTCTGTCTGTCTGTCCAGAACCAAACTGTCTTACTAACTGCCCCATGGGGACTCTAGCCCTGCCTGCCTCACACTGTAAGTGCCTTCTTCCACGTTCCCACCCGTCTGGAGCTGTGTGTGTAGCTGACATGCTCATAGCTGGCATCCGGCATCCATCACCATCCGTGAAGATCCACTCTCACCCCCAGGGACAGACACTGAGCTCAGATACCCCACCCTGCCTGCCCCCAGAGGGTACAGCTTAGCATGTAGATTCTGCCAAAATGTCTCTTCTCATGTAGCTTGCAGTTCAAGAGGGACCATTTGAGACACATCTCAGGTCTTGCCCGTGGGAGTCTGAGTCTAGCCTCTGTAGGCTTTTAGACCTACCACCCCTGCCCCCCGGCATTTCAGTTGAATATGTGTGCTGCTGTGTGCCGGGACCACAGCATGCGCAACGTGCCCAGCCTTCTCTCCTCTTTCTTTTTTCCCAAACACTCAGGCCAGAAAGAATAAACCCGAATGTCTCTTGTCCTTCCAAGTGAGCCTATTGGTGAAAAAGTAAGTTCTTGAGCAGGATTAACTGAAGGACTAATGACAGACATCCCTGTTCCCAGTGTTTTTGAGAACTCCAGGCATGGCCACCAGAGCCTGAATCAAGTGAGATCTATGAAAAGGTACACATTTTGGGTAGAGTCAAGGACGGAGTTACCCTCCTAATCTACTTGAAGTTAAGAAAGATAAAACCACTATATTCAAGGTGGCACACATACCTTTAATCCCAGCACTGGGGAGGCAGAGGAAGTGGATAGCTGTGAGCTCGAGGCCAGCCCCGTCTACATAACAATGTCCAGGCCAGCCAGGGCTGCATAGTGAGACCCTGTGTTGGGGAAGACAGAGCCACCATCAGATGAAAGGTGTGTCCCCCTCATTGCAGGATGGGGGGAATGGCTAAGAAAGTGGCAGGAAAGGCCATTTCCATACAGCCACCCCACTGGCTTCTGGGTTAAGGACGAAGCTGCTTGTTAGTGTACGTCAGTGTTCATGCTAAGGAAAACGCTAATTTCCTTGATGTGTGTTTTTTCCTGCATAGACCCATGCCAGTGAGGAGGGTATGATAGCCTCTGAGAAAAGCTTGTTCCTGTTCCGCCTCAGTGTGAATTGGGACTGGCTAGAGCTGTGGCTGCAGCCACGCCAACCAACATGCATTAGGTGCACATGCTCGCTCTGACAGTAGTGGGAGTGGGGGACACATTTAACAGACTCTACCCACCCTCCTTCCGGCACCATGAGGTGAGGCAGTGAGACAGGTACAGCAGCACCTCGACTTCACTTTGTATCCAAATGGTAGCCATAGGTTGATCCTGGCTGTCATGGCATCGTCAGCATAAGGGCTCAAGGAGGCCCCTCCTAGGTCAGATAAGAAGCCTGTCAGAAAGAGGCATCTGATGGAATGCTCTCAGGTTAACATTTTCTTTTTTTCCTGGCCCCTCAGGGATGAGGGAAAGACTCTGCCCCATTACTCCACTGCCCTTGCAGAGGCCCGTGGGTCTATTGCTGCCCTCGGGCCATGTCATCCTCACTGGCCACCTCCGAGCATCCTCTGTCATGGTTCATCTTCCCCTGAGAGCCAGCTCCTGCTCCCTGGACGCAGCATCTGCCCCTCCGTCCCTGCTGTTCCTAGTCTCTTCATTCTGGCTCTTTTGTTGTTTGTCATGTCTAGCTATTCCAGTTCACCCCTTGGCTTCCCGTGGGGCCTTATTCCATGACATTGTCCCTGCACCTTCCATCGCAGTAGCACACCAGTTTCGTGTGTCCTCAGAGCTCACACTTCACGTGACTTGGCTTTCCACATTTCTGAGTATTGGTAACTTCCAAGGTCGGACGTCCCTGAGCCCTGACGTGCAGGCCAGGGGTCGCGTAGCTCCGCAATCCCTTTAAACAAGCAAACCGCTACGGATGAGTTCCATCACGGCCTGGCGTTGTGTGTCACGTGGTCAGCCCCCAGCACGCCACAGCTGATGAACCGCACAAGTGCAGGGTAGTCCCCAGTCGGTAAGACCGCTGCCGCAGTGAGGAGTCATTAAAGAAAACTAGACCTCAATTAAAATTTCTCTCTGCAACATTCTTTTCCCCCCTACATTGTGGGAGTTTGTTTAGCCTACTGCCAGTCAGCCTGGAATAAATAATGGAAGAGTTCTGTTTGGATCTCGTTGCTAATAGAGCTGTATGCAGCCCTGGGTCTCTGTGGACCTCAGTAGACTGAGATCCTTCGAGACCAGCTCAGTAGGTGAAGGGACCTTACAAAAGCCTCAAGAATGGTACTGGGACAAGGTTGCTGCCTCATCCTCTCTGTTCCAGGCCAGTTTTGGAGAATCCCTACAAGCAGACCTGTCTCACTGTGTTGCTCTATTTTGTCACAGCGTAATAGGTCATATGTCACGTCACTGATCATTCATATAGAGTGTTTTCCTGGTCATTGTAAGTTGCTCTCCATGCATGCCGTAATCATTCCGATGCTGAATCCCGCCTGGTCTCTTCCATTCGACTTCGCTGTGTTTGAGGTATGTCGGGGGCCATTGCCCGCATGACGCTGCTGATCTGAGTAATGCTGTCTCCCTCTCTCGGCTCTGAAGGAACTACCTTGTTCTGCGCTCGCACCATCCCTAGAGCCCTGCTTCTCCAGGCCAGAAAGACCAGCAAACCGCCGCCTTCCATCCCGTTGGGCCCCGCCTTCCCCCGCTGCCTCCCAGTCTCAGTCACCCGGAGACCCTGTGTCGTCGGAGGACCACGGTGAGGAGGATCCGACAGAGGAGAAGCCACACCTGTGACGTGATGCAAGTTTGCACGGATCATCCCGGGAATGAATCCCTGTAATGCAGAACCAGACCATCACCACCAACCGACCTCTGCCGGGAAGGAGAGCTGTAGCTTCCTCAAGGTCAAAGGATGTCTTTACACATACACGGCTGCTGAATGTTCAGCCTGGTAACCTGAGATGTTTCGGGAATGAAACAGTTAAGCGTGCCTGTAATAATTTTTTTCATAGCTCAGAAAACTATTTTTGTCTCCATCTTTTTTTACACACAATATATTAAACAAAAAAAAAGGTAAATAAGATATAAATAGATTTAAGAGTTTTAAAATGTACATTTTAAGAGATTCCCAACACCCTTGTTCTCGATCCTGACTGCCTCTGTTAAATTTGCACTGTTCCATTTTGCTTGGGTTTCTCTGTGTTGAGATCATCGTGTTCTAAGTTAAATTTTGTTTTGTCCAGTATTAATTTTTTTAGGAGTCTTTTTTTAATGCTTCGGACCATCTAACTCAGTGAACTCTTTGTAGTGAAAAGGCCATGAGGCCAGAAGACAAGCGTGTCTGTGACCTGGAAGGATGCAGGTCAGCATTCCTGCAACGGTACGGAGCCCCTCAGATGGACTTAAGGCTCACTGTAGGACACGTCTTCTGCTCGGCCTGGCGGCGCGTCTTCGGGCACCTGTACATACACCGCTCCGTCCCTGCCATCACCTGTGTGTGCGTCCGTCTGGCCCACTGTAACTCGTGACGTTCCTTGTACTGTACTGTACTGTTGGTCCCCTTGTTCCGCTGAGACAACAGCACCATTTTTAAATTATTGTTAAAACATTAGCTGACGGTGTACAACGCTCACTCAATATTTTCTTGTTTAAGGAAAAGCACTACAAAAAAAAAAAATCATGCGGATGCCAAATTGAGACAAATGATGGTGCCTCAGAGTCTGTCTGAGACTGTGATGACACAGAAATAAAGTCCTTCCAAGGAGACAGCAAGGTCTTGGTGTCACAGTTCACTGTCACCTTCCTCCCCCTCGTCTTCCTCAGCTCTGGATGGGTGATTTCTCCGTGTTTTCTGTAGCTGGCAGATGCAGGGAGCAGGATGTGAAGGAGGAACCTGCTCCCATATGGGAGTAGTCCACAGCTCTGGGCGTCATCCCGTCTCCTCTGCAGATATGCAGCCCAGCATTTTGGTGTTGGGGGTGGCATGAGGGTGGGGTTATGAAGACACTGCTGAAGAGCACAGAACTATTCAAAAAGGCTTTGATGTTTCATTAACTCAATGGTTCTCTTCTTATAAAGATGAGGTAATAAGGCCCCTTCCCAGGATTACACAGTCCCCCCTTAAATAGTTTCAAAAGACAAGTGTTGGAAGAGAAGATGGAGCGGTTGGAGCCCTGATGTCCTGTTGGTGCAGAAGTTAAGTGGTGCAGCCACAGTGGAAGGCAGCCCAACATTCCTTTCTCCATCAGAGTTACTGTAGAGCCAGCTGTTCCCACGGTTGGGAGCACAGAGCTTCCAACTGGAAATAAGAACCGTAGGTACCTTCACACTGCTTTTTATGACAGCCCAAACCAGAAATAGCATACATGTCTATCCACAAGTGAGTGGGGAAACGCAGTGTGTGTGCACAGTGGAATATTAGCTGGCAGCAAGAAAGAAGGACGTTATGGAACAATGTGGGTGAATGTTAAAGACCTAGTAAATGAGATAAGTCAGTCAGAAATAATTGTATGATCTCCTCTCATGATACTTACTAACATTCATACAGACAGAATAGTGGTGGCTGGGGTTAAAGGCAGGAGAAAAGGGAGTTGGCACAAAGTATGGCAGAGGTTCCGTTTAAGGTGAAGAAAAGGTCCTGGAAGTGGATAATAATAATGCTTGTCCAACAGTGAGAATACACTTGATGCCACTGAATTAAAAGGCTAGCACAGTAAAGCTTTTGCACATTTTACCACACTCAAACCCTTTTAATGCAGAAAATAAGAATTTTGCATAACAACAGAGGACTTATCAACAAACCAGTGTTTTGTGGTAGCTGGTGGATGGTTCCATGGCAGAGCAGTCCTAGCATGTTTGAAGCCTTGGGCTCAATTCCTAGCCAAAGAAACAGGAAGAGACACCGACAGGTGTGTACCAACATTCCTTCAGTTGGAGCCAGCAACAAGGGAGCCTCACAGCATGAGTCAGGACTGCCGTCTCCAACTATGCATCCTCTGTCTTAATTCTCAGGCGCTGATGACCCCCAGCACTTCTGCTACTTTGGGAATCCTAAAGAAAGCAGTTCTCACCAAAAGGTTCAGCTCCTTGATCACTTCTCACTGGTGGGGTGACCTAGCCAGCCCACAGAGGAAGCGGATCCAGGCAGTCCTGATGGGACCTGATAGGCTAGGGGAGGAGAATTTCCTTATCTGTGGACTAGGGAAGAAGGATAGGGGAGGAAGAGGGAGAGAGGGTAGGACCAAGAGGAGATGAGGGAGGGGGCTACAACTGGGATACAAAGCGAATAGATTGTTAGTCATAGTAATAATGATAAGCAACTTGATGCTCCTTATTGTTTTGGAATAAGTCACATCACAGTGTGTTATTCCACAGCCTCCTGAGCTGATCATGGTGACAGGCTGGCATAGCAAAAGGAGAGTCTGAGAGCTGTTAGAATAGAGGGAGAGGCTGCCTGGAAGTCAGCATAGGCTTTTGTTGCTACAGGACACCTCAAAGTTGCAGGAACACGCTCTGGCCACGAGGTGAACTTCCCAGGTTGGTGCTGACAGTGTAAGCATCATTTCAGTGAGAGTGAGGGAGTTGTACAGGAAGCTTTAAGAAGGACAGCTCCACCAGGCAGCTGGCCGGTTGTGGACCTCACATGAACAAAGCCATCTGGAATGTCCAAATACTTAGGTCTCTTGCAGAGCCACTCAGACTTTAAAAGGCAAGACGGCAGGATGAAATCATCTTCCACTGGTCTGTGCAGATGGATGCTGAGGCACTTCTGTGGGTTTGGGGTCCACTGAAGGCAGAGCAGCTGTCTGCAGGGAAGGGCCTTGGGAAGCAACTCCACCAGCTAACATTCGCGCACCAGCTGCTCTCATGTCCTAAAGAAAGATGTGGCAGATTCCTGAGACCCAGGAAACAAGACTCACCCACCAGCATGCCCTTCCCAATGGGAGATGGCAGCTCCCACAGCCTGGAGACTTCAGCAAACCAGAGTCAAAGGACGTGCCGTGGCCTCACCCTCAGACCTCCATTTTTGCTCCAGGAGGTAACATGCTATGTTAAGGTTTTCAATATTATGCACCAAGTTTTTGTATCTGTGCACATAATTCTAATTATTTTTTGTTACCTTTTTCTAAAAAGGACCTAAGAGGTTTGCAGATACTTCTTAAATTTGTATTGACTGCATTTAATGTTTTGGTATGCGTGGTGAATGTCACTGTGTCAAGCAAATTGGCACTCCGGGCTCACCTTGTAACTCCTGTTATGGCAAGAACCCCTGCGGTGTACTCTCGTCTCTCTAGGTCTTTTGAGAACGCCTCTCCATGTAGCCCAGCTGGCCTTAACCCTTCCTGCCTCGGCCTCCCCAGTGCCAAGATTACAGACATATGCCACTGCCTGGCTCTAAACTCTGATTGTTTTAGCAAAAGTCCCAAATGTACCACAGTGCTACTCTAGCCTTCAAATGGAATATTGGAACCCTAGACTGTCAAACTTGACAGTTATTGTGCATATTCATGTTTTTTAAAAGCACCTGAAAACTAGGACTGCCTGTTTTATTTTCTAATATGTTGGGTTTTCTTTTTCTTTTAAGGTTGTGGCAAAATATATGTAGTATAAATTTTACCATTAAGCCCTCCTCCCACCTTTTTTGAGACAGGGTCACTATGTAGCCCTGGCTGTCTTAGAATTTGGCCTGTAGACCAGGCTGGCCTTGAACTCTACCTCTACCTCCCGAGTGCTGGGGTTAAAGCTGTGCGCCACCACACCTGGCATTTAAACGATTTAAAAAGCCACATTTCACAAAGATTTGCCAACCACTACCACTATCTTGTAGACACTCTAGGATCTACAATCTCAGATGCATTAACTATGCCCCATTACAGGGTCTTGCTTACTTAGGAATCTTATGTAACTGGGTATTTTGTAGACTGTGTGGCCTTCTGTATCTGGCTTTTTTCACTTAGCATAGAGTTTTCAGGTTTCATCCATGTTATAGCAGTAACGAGACTTCTTTCTTTTTGTTTGGTTGGTTTTGGCTTTTTAAGACAGGGTTTCTCTTTGTAGCCCTGGCTGTCCTGGAACTCACTGTGTAGACCAGGCTGGCCTTGTTCTCAGAGATTCCGCTGCCTCTGCCTCTGAAGTGCTGGGATTAAAGGCATGTGCCGCCACCACCAGGTTGACTTCATTCATTTTCATGGCTGGATAACAATACACTGAATTTTGAATGTCCATTTAGTAGTTGGGAGTGTATGTCTATTTTTAAAACCAAAGAAAGCCTTTGGTTACCTTTAAACAGCCTGGAGCATTTTCTCCGAAGGAGAGGATTCACAAGGACTGCTAAGAAGCAGGCATGTTGGAGTCCTCAAACTTCCCTGTTGCAAGAGGCCCCCACACTTACTGTATTTTTCATGATTTTCCTTTGATTACATATAGGCCTTCCAGCATCTCTCTCTGAACACTGTGTACACCAGAGTCTTGTATAGCAAGAACACAGGCTGAGTCATAGACAAGCTATTTTAATAAATTTGAAGACACTACATATTTAAAGCTTGGGGCCCCAGAATCCATATGGCACTAATAGCCAAAGACTTGGGGCCAAATCCTGGTTCAGACACATGCATCGTCAGGCCACTTCTCCGAGGTTGGAACACAGTAGCAATAATGCCTGCTTTGCTAGATAGTGCGAGGACTAAGGTCATGCCTACTGTATGAAAGATACCATGTGCAGAGTGGCAAGCAGCAGAGGCAGAAAAGATTAGCTCCTCTGTCTTACTGAGCTTTTGTTTTGGTGATGTGGCACAAACAGGAAAGTTTCCTTGGTTTAGAGAGCAGCTGTTACCAAACGGGGCCCATCTTGCCTGCCACTAACTATGCCAAATCCCACAGCCAGTCTGCACAAAGCAGCCAAACAGACTGGGAAGGCTTAAGTCTGCCTTCCAGGTGGGAGGGGTGGGGACTGGAGGTAATAGACATGAAGAAATTGGTGTTCATAGAGTTAATGACACTTTTTAGGGCGAGGTGGATGTTCAGGAAATGGCACATTAGCATGACCCAAAGGGTGGAGCTTTTGGCCCACTGATGTCACAAGGTCATCCATCAGACACTTATAAGCCTGCAAAAGGAATCAGTAGCTCCAACAATTTTAAGCTACACAATGAAAGCTATCTTCAGATGCCTGAAATGAAACAAATGGAAAAAGTCCTTCACCAAACTGGCAGGGCTCCCCACTTTATCATTGCCTCAGATGATGTCTAAGACAAGTGACAAGCAAGGATCTGAAAGCAAGTGAGCTGAGGTTGGCTCAGGTCTTTTTGAGTTTCAAAGGAAACCAGGATTTAGACGTTAGGGAAGGAGAATGGCTCAAGTCTCTTACAAGAGGAATAAGTGTAAATTAATTTAATTTTGTGTTGGGGAGCTGCTTACGTGACTAAGAGGGTTACCCATGTGTCTTTTTTTTTTTTTTTTTTTTTTTTTTTTTTTGTGCATAGAGCCAGGGGATGTTTCCAAACAAGAAAATGTCATCCCTATGCAGGAAGAGCCTGCGCAAAGTCACTGTGGGAAGGCAGGAGGAATGCCATGTGTCAGGAAGTGAAGAAGGTCTCTATGGCTAGAGGAAGGAGCGAAGGGCTCTGGAGAGGACAGAGGAGAAATCGAAGGGGGGGGTGTGGGGAGACCCGGGATACACAGAGAAGGATTTGGGTTCTCTAGATGGAAAAACAAAGGCATTGGGAGGTAATAAACAAAGGAGTTCCCAAATATGTGTGAATCCTCCA